ATTATTCATTGTCTCCTTTAGGCACAATCTTAATTTTTTAACAATTAAAGCGCATTTAAAAGAATATTGTCGTATGAAGAATAAATTTTTATGAGTAGATGAAAATGATAGTTAAAATTATTTCTTGAGAAACTTCAGTTAAACTTTAAATGCCAGTTATTAAATCTTATTGACAAATAATTACTAAGTTAATTTAATGCAAAAAGTCGCAAAAAAAATGTGGGCAAATAAAAACCAATAATAACATGTTCTTATAATAAGTTTTAACTCCTCCACCATCCACCGCAGTCTGTAGATCGTCAACGCCAGTGAACTTTTTACCCCCTTTTTACTTTGGGGAAAAATGAGCATTTGAAGAAAAATGAAGATTGCCAATGCCAGAAAATACATAAAGTACAACCGCAATAATCAGATTGACGCATGTTTTCATTGAGTGCCTTTGGACGTTGTCGGCCATCATCACGCAGATCGTAAAAACTGCGTAGAAAAATTGCGAGTGGAGCTACAGAAAAATCCTCTCTTTCGCTTGGGTTGCAGAAAAAGATACGGACCGTGAAGGACTAAAACAGGATATACTATATCATATATTTACGACCGCAGTGAAAATTCTTGAAGATTTGAGGGTATAAAAAAAATCGGCAAGCGTGCCGAGAATTTGGCAAATCCGCGCAAAGACGAAAAGCGGCAGCAATTTATTCGTGAACAATTCTCTTGTTCCGAGTGCCAGCGGCATAATCGCCGACGCTCTTTTAAAACCAGCGCGAATTCTTCCAAGGAAATTCCTGTGTGCCGCGGGTTGGCAGACAGACAATGGACTGCGTCTTATCCAAATTGCGTGCGACTTGCTGAGATCCGCGAAAAGCAGCGGGACAGCGAGTTGAGCGAAAATGCACGCGTCGACAAGTTTCCTACTTCGTCTCCCTCATCTGTTCTCCCCCAACAACGTCCGATTGTGGAAAGCGAGAAATGCCGCAACCCATTGTTCATCCCTCTCACTGTGGTAAGGAAGGAGCAACAAGCCTCGCACATGAAGCGCTATGAAATGAGATTTTTTCCAAAAATATTACAAAGATAAGAAATTTTTATTTAAATAACTTTTTTAAAGCTAAATGAATGTTTTTCAACTAACATTTGTTCTTAATTTTGCCGTATATAAATGAAAAATGTTAATAAAAATCATTCGCATACCTTTTACAGCAATTCAGATCAACAGGTTTTGATTTCAAGTAAAATACATTTCAACAGTGGGTTCTATAATATTTGTGTAAATATTAAGCAAAACCAGGAAGTTTCCCTGTACTTTGAAAGTTGAAAGTTATTAGTTTGAAACTTTATAGTTAATTAATAAAATCCAATTTAGCTGTTCAATTATAGAAATAAGATGGCATGAAGACGCTTCTTAAATTATTATTTTTTATTTGGGATGGTGAAAATTGAATTTATATGACATTAATCGATACTTCGCTGACAACATTCGATAAATTTGATTTGTTAATTTTCAAATGGAAGTGAATAATGATGACATGTAAATTTCAGGACGTGAAGTGCAGTGAAAATAAATTTCAGATTCTATATAGCTTTTGAATAAAGTTAGATTGATTTTCTCTGCTCTTCCTCAAGAGAATTCTAATTTTTTACGATGGGAAAACTTATAAAATTAAATTAACAATTGAATTTGCGCATCAAATACACCTTCCAATTTCCAATGTCACGCTGAAACACTCATTAATCTTTATCTTTTAATTTAAATTATTCAAAATAAATACAATTATGATCAAGAACGGATGTTATTGTGTTTTCCCCTTTCTTTTTGCTATAAAAATCTCATTTATAGAGAGCCACTTTTACTCTTGGAATTTTCAATGCTGCAAAATTGAGAACGCAATAACAGGGCCACTTTGATCCAGACGAGCTTCACAAAATTCATCGATAATTTGGAATGGTTATATCTCGTTTAGGCCAAATTCCTACCTTTAATAAAGTCTGTTTCTTCCATGTTCTCAAATTAATTAAAAAAAAAACCAGGAAAAAGACAAGCGGAATATCAAAATTGGGTTTGACAATATTCGATCTAGCAAATAATAAAACTCCTCTTTCCTTTTCCTTGTACTCATATAAAAGAGATGAAAGGGAAATAATGCGGGGGTAGAAATACTGAAGGCATTATTTGAATAAATCGCTAATCCTGCGATTGCGAAAATTTTAACAAACGCACGCACAATAGATTATAGGTTTGAACAGCTTTTCATTGACGGTCCATTAGGGATTGAGTGAGAGAGAAGTGTGTGCTGCAAATTATTATTTGGAACACGAATTACTGGCCTTGAATACCTAATGCAATGTACACAGAAAGTGGAATCGGCTTTTAATTAATGCAGCGCATCGCGCCTAAAGCTTCTTGCGTAGTCCAGAATGGGCAACTTTCCCGTAATTAAGCAGAATTACAAATCGTCAATTTATCGGATGGATGGGTGAGCAAATTTAGATAATTGCTCAGCATTGCACAACGCCCTGCAAACACTTCGGTATTCTAATTATCGATATCAAAACGTAGAGCGTCAGAATTTAGAAAATTGGTTAATTGATGCTATTTATATCAACAGAGATGTTTCAACGGAAACGATATTTATTAAAAGAGATCAAAAGCAATTATCCTAAAATTACGAAGCCAACATAAACAAAATTAATTATAACAGGAATTTGAGGGTCGCTAGTCTTGAGAAAGATCAATCAGCTAAATAAAGTTTTCCAACATTTTTTTTGCCTGTAATAAATATTCAAAATGGTTGAAATTTGGTTCATTATCTTGAATTATCCAAAACTAATAAGTTTTCAAATAGTCGAATTTTAAAATAAACAAATAATAATTATATGTTATTAATTTAAGCTATAACTCAATGAAATAAATTAAGCCTCAACATTATTTTAGGGTTACTAATAGAAATTTGTGTACATTAAAAATTGATAAACTAATAAATAATCTAGAGATTGCTGAGGCAGAAGATTTGCTTTGTTATATTTTTCATTTTTATTCTGGCGAGACGTTGTTGCTTTCACATTTTTCAATATAAAAGCCAGTGGCAGTGGCTAAAAAATTCAAATTTGGATTTTTTTTAATTGGCATAATGAACGTATAGATGTCAAAAGAATTTGCGGAATTGGACACTCTCCATGTTGAAATTATTTCCAACGTGGGAGATTAATATCGCGCGCGAGTGGTTTTGTGTCACCTGCACAGATGGCGAATCGAATTTAACACGCGACAAAGTTATGTTGAAAGTGGCGCAAATGAAACGAGAGCGACCAGAATTTAATATTAATTAATCGTGACAGACAGGGCATATGTCCGCTCAGACGAGCAAAATATTCAATTTGGTGACAAATAATATGAAAACGAGGGTTTGCTCGTGGCAACAATGAGGCGCAATTTAGAATTGGACGTGCTTCACATTGTGTTTACAAATTAAATTCACCCAGCTCTCGGCATTTAGCAGGGGAAAAGGTGCGCGAAAAATGGTGTTTTGGTTCATTTTTTCCGTCTGCTTCCGAGAATCGTTATCTGATAATTCATTTAACAATAGGTATGAAGAAAATGGTGTACATAGTATTCTGGAACGTGATATTTGCCAGGATATTAGAAATGAGCTAATTAGCTGGATTTATAAGCTCCAGCGTAATTTGAAATTTCCAAACGAAAAAAAAAAACAAGAAAATCAAAACTTCTTGCGCCGGAGTAAATTATATCAAATATGCTAAGAAGCTTTTGAAGTTGTGGGTTTTCGGAATAAAAAGGTGGACAAATAGAAAAGAAATTAAGTTTAAAATAACAATGAAAACTTCAAAACACTTCAATAGCAAATAATGAATTATATTTAAATTTTAAAGCACGTTTTGTTATATAAATTTAATTAGGAACTAAATTAATTGCTTTGATAAAGATCAGCAATAAATTGTACAAAAAATCAAGAGTATCTTCTGAGAAAGTTAGTTGCAGTTGGCTTTCTCATAATTCTGTGATTGTGCAAAATTGTATTAACAATCTGTGTTATTTTATAATGGGCGAGTGGGAATTATTACTGGCTCAGCAGAATGCGCGTGTAATGGGCAAGATAAAGAAAATCGACCGACCGGCGTGTTTTGTTAGATTTAGTTATATATATGATTACAAAAATAACGATATCGTGAAAATTACATTGCTCGAGCGCTCGAAATTGGCTCTCTGGCATGATTCGAACAGTGCTCAACAAAAAAGTAAACGCAATAAATAACTTGCTAACTTGCAGACATCACGAATATTGGGTATACATTTATTTTATTTCGTTTAGTGGCTGAAAATTACAACAATTTCTTTGAACTTCTATTGTGTTTAAATATTTGTCACGTCAGTTTTTTTCAATAAATATTTTGAAATTTAATTTGAAGCGTTCTTTGTTTGATTGCTATATTAATTTGAGACGCTTTCAAGAAATGAGCAAAAATCCTGAGGAAGAATTTGAATGTATCAAACGCACTTGAACGTTTCCTTTTGAGAACTTTTGTTGTAAAATTCGTTTCGCTCACTCAATTTGCTCTCTGCTAATTACGTTGAATTCGTTCTTAAGAAACTCGATTGGCTCATTCACTGGTTTAATGGCTTCGTGTTTGTGTGGAAATATTCCAGACGCTTGGTACATTCTATACAAAAGGAAATTCCCCTAAAGACGCATAATTTGAGGCGAAAATTGCGAAACCGAAGGCGAAGTACTTCATGATTCTCACCAAGAGTCCCAAGCAGCAGTTGGGGTGTGGAGCCTTTAGGGTCAACAAACTTTTCCACTTATACTTTCAAGAGAGTAAACCCGGCCTATTGTCACCAGAGTCACCAGCACGCGTACAAGATGTAAATTTTTGGCACACGAAAATTCACTTTTTTGTTTGACAATGTCGAAAAATTTAACAGCGCCCTTCTTTGAAATAAAATAAAATCCCTCTTAAATAATGTAGCAAAAAATTTCGCTTGCCTGAATTGAGGGCCACCTTCGGTGATGTAGACAGGTCGGCGGCCAGGGAGCCTCACTAGTGAGCTGATTGCGACCGGCGTTCATCTGTTACTGACCTGCGAGTGCAGCGACGGCGGCCGCGCTCGCAGCATCCACGGGCAGGGCGCACGCCCCAGGGAGGAGATTCAAGTCCGTCCCACGCGGCGCATGCATGCTTCGCCTGCAAGCAAATGGGGAGATGAAACTATGTATTATAAAATGTGTCACCTAGAAGAAGGTCGAAAACGGTTATGTCACAGCAATCAGGTGCTTTGTTGATTTTACTTTCGACGGGCACAGTACAAACTCAACATTTCTAGCGAAAAATTGTGTGTTAAAAATAAGCTTCAGTGTCTAAAATACATTCAATCTAACATTCAAGTTAATGAACAATCTCGCAATTTAAAAAGTGTCAATAATATAATGCTTAAAATCTAGAAACCAGTTTAATTCAGAAATTAAAATATTAAATAAAACAGGTATTTCTTTCAAAATATTAAAATATAATTCATCATTAATTATAATCCAATTGAATCTCTAGCACATTCTGACTCTCATTTCTCTTTCTGTAGACATTCCCAATAATGAGGAATTGAATTATTTGTTTGAAAATTTGCTTAGATGCTTTCTTTAATAAATTTGGTTAAATATATAGGGAAAAATCTTGAAACAGTTAAAACAAGTGAATTCTTTAATTACTTTTATACTGTGATTTTATGGGTGAAAATTAAAATGAGAGTTGGAAATACAATCTAAATTTATGTTGACCCCATTAAAATAAGTTTATGAAGTGATCACAAATTAAAAAAGTTGATTGAAAATGATAATTGACTTTATGAAAAAATTAATATTTATTTCTGCAATATTTATCACAATAAACCTGAAATGCATCTAGTAAACGTGAAGGTTCAATTCCATTACCCATTATAATATTTGAATTTTTAAAAAGCTTGAATCTAGAACGGTATGAAAAGCAAAAGCATGATCTATTTATGTTTTTATTTCACTGCGTGAATACTCTGAAGTGTTCATAAGAAAGTTTCTGGAGCCATAGAAAGTGTATGAAATTAATAGTAAAGGGAGAATCTAGAATGAGGTTCTATTTAGATTTGTAGGACGTCAAGATTCAAACTTCGAGCTCACTGATGGGTATCCAATATCAATTTTCAACTCAAGAATCTCACATTGGTAAGAGAACAATAAGCGCTTTATTTGCATTCAAAAGGCAAAGGCAGGAAGGACGAGCGCCCAAGAAATATTCTTTTCGCTATTCTCTCATCTCTGAAGTTTGATATGAACTGCGTCGCAGCTCGCAGCCAACCGAAAGATGGTGTATTGGACTTTTCAATAAGCATTTCTTGAGCAGAAACTTTGATCTCGTCTTTTCCATGGCAATTTTTCTCCTTCGATTATTTCAAAAGTTACCAAGAAGGCCAACTTTTGTTTGCATCCTTATTGCAAAAGAACTTTCACATCAGAGTTTTGCATTATTAACGCCGCGCATGAAAGCATTTCATAAATTATTAATTTCAGCACTGTCCTCATTTACAAGTAAAAGATTTAATTTCCAAAGGGTAAAAATCTAGATTTTTATATTTTTTTTAAAATAAATTAGAAAGTAACAATCATGTCTGTATACGCAAAATTGTGTAAGAAATTTTTCAGATGTATGTTGAAAGTTCATTAATCAGAATTTTTCAAATGGGACTACGGAAAGCAAATTTTCACACAATTTCCTTGACGACCGCGGAATTAAAAACTGCCGCGCCCATCCAGCAGTCAAAAAGCAAGGGTACTGCGCACCCTTACGACGGCGCCCGGGGTGGATCGATTTTAAACAAGTGAAGAGTGAGACGCGCCCGAGCAAAATATCGAGCCGCAGCCCCGTCCGCGATTTCGGTCGAATTTCAGCAAGTTTCGCATAACAATGGGAGCTTCAATCTTTCCGATTTTCTTCTTCACCGTAGTGTGGGGTGGTGTCGGTATTTTCCTGCCTCGCATGGTACCCAACGGACCTAACCAGAGGTAAGAGAAATAAGACCAAACGCAAATTTCCGTGCTGTTGTTTTACACGGAATTCGCCAACTTACCCTTTGAAATAGAACTAAATGACAGTGAAAAATCAATTATTCTTTGTGAATGGTAACGAAAATTTTGCATAAAAATAATCAATCAATCATTTATTTATTTAAAAAAACCTTTATTGGTAATTTTTTTAAGCATTTAAAAAAATTTGACACTTTTTGTTTGTTTCAAGTTGATCAATTTATGTATTATACTTTTCAAACAATGTTTTAAAAATGCACCGTATAATTATTTAAAAATCATCAATTTGAATTCCATTAAATTTTTTGAATTTTGTGGAAGAATTTCGTGATTGGTTCATGGTGAATTGTATTTCTATGAAAGCTTTTCCACTCGAGACTGGTTTTTTAGTTGGATATTGTTTCATAGGAAAACAATTATCTGCTTTCCTGCTATTGTTTGTTCCTGAGAAACAATAAACAACTAAAAAAACTACACGAGGAAAATCCGCTAAGTCAAATTCAATTCAACGTTCAACGTGATTTTTTTTAAGATATTGAAAACGTGTAGTATCAATTTGATCTCTTTTTACATTCTTTCTTTGAGCTTTGCTGCAAGGAAAATTCTAACAAAATTGCAGAGGCTTTGCTAATTTAATTTTACCCTGATAATGATGGTAATTCATGTAATTCACATGGAAGAAATAAGGAAGTTAGAGCCTATTTTCATCTCGAAAACAGTATGATGCTTTTTTTGGAAAATCTTTTTAATTTTTTTTAAAAAATTTCACGATCGAGGGTTGATTCATGGTAATTTGAATTTAAAACCCATCGCTGTTTTTAAATTAAAATCACCACTTTTTTTAAACGTTGTTGTTAGGCATTTTGCCGATCATACGCGTCTTGCACGTTGCATATCACGTACTAAACCGGGCGACTTGCTTGTCTTTCAGATTGATGCAAGTGGTGCTGATGATAACGGGAGCGGTGTGCTGGCTTTTGTGAGTATAAAGCAACCTTGGCGTGAGCTTAATTGAATATAATCTCATCCACTCACGGTAAATCACGGACGTACAATCAATTTCCAATAAAACATTATTATTGTCTGTTGATTAAAAAATAATCAAATAAAATTCCTAGAGCTCAGTTTGGAATCACTCAATCATTTTTGATGCATCATTAGGACAAAATTAATTTATCCTCGACGCGATTCTCAATCATATTGATGACACTAATCACGATTGAAGTCTGCTCGCAATTGCACTTTCCCCAGATATAATTCTAGATTGTTAAAATTCTGGGAAATAATGAGAGAGAAAAGTTTTCTCTTATAGAAAAATACAATCTTATATTTCTCACCAAGCTTCCCTTGTTAATAATTTCTAACTTTTGCGTGCGCAATTATAAAAACAACTCCATCTTGGGAAATAAGTCCAACTCTCTTTGCAGCTGGCTCTGCTGCTACATGGCCCAGATGAATCCGCTGATTGGTCCCAGGCTGTCCAATAGGACGCTGCTCCTCATCGCACAACAATGGGTACAAATTTTTATATCTCTTCCATTCTTTATTCCGTTCCGCGCCCTCCGGGGACACGTGAGCGAGACAAAAAGTGTAAGGATAAAAAAAATGAACGTGTGTGCTTGTTTGTTTCAGGGAAATCCACTGGAACGGTTTTAGGCCGGTGCAGTGCAATTCGGAGAGGATGTTAAATATGTATCGGGTTAATTTTTCCGAGTATTTGGATGATTACTTTTGAGCTCTCTGAGGCTGCAGAGATGCGATACGCGCAGTGTTGTTATATAAACCACATCATCGTGTACATTGTGTATTATATTTTATCGAAAAATAAAGGAGATCAGCTGAAGAATGCATTTCGGTTTATGAGCCACGTGAGCTGTGGTTTTATAGGGTTCATCTATGTATTTAGTTTAGTTAATAGAATATTATAAATGCTGAAGTTAAATTTCCCTCATAACCATGACGGTATAACCCAACAATGTTATGAATAAACAGGTTTATTCCAACAAATATGCATATATCATTTTAAAACTTTTTAGAAAATAACATTTTTATTTATTTTTATTTTTGGGAAAAATTAAGATGAAAGTTCATGTCTTGGATTAATAAATATTTAAGAAACTTATTAAAATTCAGAAAAATTATCAGTTAATGTTGCTATTTGCATCATAATTTTTATCTTATTTTAACTATTAGCAGGGGGAAGTTTAGCACGGATGCACCAAAAAATTTATCATATGTGGCAATAATATTTTTAATTTTAGTTTCAATTTTTATAAATTTTAAATTGTGTGATTTTCATATAGCAATTTCATTATCACGCGATTATTCAAAACTGTATCTTGGAAGAAAAATGAATGGATTCAGACGTACCTGCGTTTCCACAAAAAGTGACTTGCGGTTTGTCAATTTATATTATTTAGCTTCGTTAATTTTGAAGTTAGAGAGAGTCAGAGAGTCTCTATATATTTAAATGCAAAAGTCCTGCTTATTAAATCCAATCGACCGTTACATCTGCACGTGACTAGGTACGAAGCGAATCCAGAAAGTGCACACCGAGACAATCACACTGAAACGCGAGATTGAGCTCTTTGTTTCGGCTGCGTTGTCTCTGCTCAAAGTGGGGAGCTTTTATACAAACCGCAGGTTTCACGCTTGTTCTCATTGTAACAATGAGATTCATTGTCACTCGGAATCAAATACATGTGCACGTGAAGATAATACTGCGCTCAGCCGACATCTGGACATATCGGCTTTCCAGAGAGCTGCTTTGCCCGCTGGCAAATAATGCATTCGGACCACAGGCACTAATGGAGGGCTTCGAGGGCTTGTGTTGCACTTGGGTCATCAACGCACCTTGAGGCGGCGTCGTCGGGATGGGAGGCAAGATTTACATCCTCTCCACTGTAATTAATATATGCGACTGAGATGGGCAGAATAATAGACCACCGTAATTAGTCATTAGTGCAAAAGGGCCAGTGGTGACATCAACACCATTTTCGGTAAAAGCCACTAAATGACGCAGCATCACTTAGCAAATGGAAAGAAAATTCTGGAATGAAAAGGTCAAATTTCATCTGTGTAGGGTGAAATGGTGGATTTTTCTGGATTTTTGTTCCCACGGGATTAAATTAAGCTAAGGTAAAGTATTTTGAAGTATCAATATGGTAAAGATCTGTAATTTTCTTATCTTATACAGAATAAATGTAATTAATTTGAATTTATGATCAATGGTATGGGCAGCGATTGCCTCTTTGATACATCAATAATACATTATTTGCAACTAAATACTTTCCCAAATAAAAATTTTAGATTTTAGAACTATCTATTTTGTTAAATATTGGGTTAAAAGTAATTTTAATATATTTCGACCTAAACTGCATTTTTTTTCTGAAAACCTCAAATTCTTAGAATAGAAACCAATTTAAATTAGAAATTTTATGCCTCTTTTGCATTTAGCTCAATTTGGCTCTGGAAATAATTATATTGAAAAGCAGACTAAAGAATAAAATTTTGCAGGTGTAATAGTATTAATTATTGCAACCGTTTCAATAGCTAGTATAGCAAATTACAAATAGATTGAAGCGCGTGAATCTGGGTCGGCACTCAACAGACAATTTATACTTCGTTGATGGTGAGAGAGATGAAAGGATCATTAAAAAAGTGGGTGTTTGATCAAATGTAGCCAACTGGAAATTTCTGCCTTTCAAACGAGATTTGATGAAAGTTTTTGCTTATTGTTAGTAGAAAGGATGCTCAAAGTGGAATAAATCCTCTTTCACAATTTACACAATTTCCGTTCAAGGTTCTAACTCAATTTATTGCAAATTTGATTTACCTTTGATTACAGTAAAAAGTTTTTGAACCCAATAAACAAATTTCTGAAACTAAAAGCGCAGCAATTTAAAAAAATAGAATCAGATTATTATTTAGCATAGTTGCATTATTTTTTGAAGTTTTATTGCAATGAGTATTTGTAATTTAAGTCATAGGTCGCCTTGAATACTGATTTAAATTAAAGAAGTTAGTAAATATGTGTTAGGATAAACAATCTGTATAAAAAATCACATATTTTTCAGGTCTAATTACATGGAACTTTAGCTAAAGTTATTGATTCAAAAATTAAAACAAAACATTAAAATAATTCCGAATTAACTTCATGAAACATAATGGACAATGCAAAAGTTAATATTATTTTATTTTATTAAAAAAAATCACTTCAAAGTAGCAGGAAATGTACATAAAAAGTGGAAGGTAATTTGAATATATGCTTTTCTTACAATGCACTTTAAGTATTTGGCAAATATACCACTTGTTGGAGTTGACTCTTAAGCCACAAAATGATAAAATTATCCAAAATTAGCAGAAAAAACGCACGCTTTTGCTATTTTTTTTTAGAGAGACAACAACGGGCCTTCCACTTCTTTCTGGTTTAAGTTGCTTCAATTAGGAGTATCAACGGGAAGAATAAATTAAGTCTAGATGCAGTAGCTTATTCCACTTGCAAGCCGAAACGCTGAATAATAAAGGCCATTGGTGTGTTATCGAGAGGCAGCACAACGTTCGTCAACTTGTTTTTAATATTCCGCAATCGGAGAGAGGCGTGAACAAAAATTACTGAAATGCAAACACGTACGAAGTATTAATTGGTGGCGATTTATGGTACACGTATTCAAAGAAAAACAAAATTAATGATAGATGAGAAAATGTTTTCATTCAAAATTTCAGCTTGCATTGGAGTTGTACAATTCTAATATGTTTCAAAATTTTCTCTCCAAGTACTTTTATTTCTGTGAAGGCACAGAGTGCAAATTAAATCAAAGATTTGAATGTTTAAAATAAATCTAGCCGTCACGCAAAGATTTCAAAATGATGCTCGCCGAAATTGAAAATTTGAATGCTTTTAAATACTGCTTAAGCCAAATAACTATAAGTTTAAATTCATACAATTTAATCGCATGACTGTAGTTTATTACAGTAAACTAGAATTTTTACTGCAATGAATTTAATTTTATAAAACCCTTAAATTTTTAAAAAAAATTTGTCTCAATTGACCAGCTTGAATTATTTCATAGACCATTTGAGACAAAGGAGTGAAGAATGAATTAAAATGAAATATGTACGGTTTCAATTTTCCCCCGAGCTTTAACTTTCAATTTATGATAGTGATTACAAACAATGAGACATAATTCTAAAAAAGGAAAAAGGAAGTATTATAATTATTGCACTAACCTTGCAAGGGAACAAGCAGAGAGAGGAGAGCGTACGCCAGCGATGAATAATAATAAAGGCAGAGGCCCGCCAAAAAGACGGTAATGCCGACGCCTGGTGCCGACGCCTCCGTGGCCAGACGAGCTGCACTAAGCAAAGTGACCACGATGAGGGTGGAGCCCATCAGCACCCTCAAAGGGTCAATGTAGCAGAGCAGAAGGAAGATGACGCTGAAGACGGCAAAGTAGTTGGTTTGGTAGTAGAGAAGATTGCTCTGCATGCGGCGTGCCCACTTGTCCAGATCTTTGAAGTCTGGCACCTGCAAGAAGAAAAATCTTTAAAAATCAGTAAATCTGAATATTATGAAATTTACACAAGTTACATAATTATGAAAGGAATTAAATACTCATTCCTATATGTACCTGAAACCGGGCAGAGCCAAGAATGAAGTCGTCCAGCGACCGCAATGGTAAAATGTTAAATTGGTTGGCATCGCTTGCAGATTTTTTGTTCATTTCGATGCTGGATTTTGTCGTCAGATCAGTCAAATTTTAACACTATGAAGACGAGCTGTGAGAGTGTCTGAGCTAATTAATGCAGAGAGGATGCGGTAATCGACGAAAATAAACGTCCACACTATAATCCCCTGGCAAATTATGTAGCGAAGAATGTTAAGCACACGAAGTAGGCGTGGTCTTGTTTTAACTCGTCGTTGGCTATGGCCAACCTTAAAGAGCTAAAACAATTTATTCTAAGAACCAAATTAATTATTTTACGCTTATTAATCTTAAATTTTACAATAAAAAAATTTTAATTTTTGAAAGAATTATTCTCAGTCAAAAGTCTTAGTTTATCCTTACAAATTTTGATACTGATAAAACTTGTTATTTTAGCTCTGAGAACTTGGCCACTCGAGTTAGCCACTCAAAAGAAGTTGGCCACTCGGGAGTGCTCGGCAGATATATATTGATCAGTGTTGCCAACATAATGGAAATGTTCGGAAATTTTATTAATTTTTGTGGCAGTTATTGCAATTAACAAAGTCAAGAAGAAATAAATTCATCCAAGTTATAAGCCATTGTGGGAAAGACAAGCAGGTTAAATACCAATTTGTTCCTTTAAAAAATATATTATTAATAATTATATCTTTTAAAAATGCAAATAAAGTTGAACCCTGGCGACGAAATATTTTTTAAACATTCCTATCAGGGTTTTTTTGAAGAATATAGCTGCTCTGCAATTTCGTTGGATGGTTTTAAGATGGAGGGTTAACAATTAAATGGAAATGGTACTAAACTTATTACAAGAGAGATGCTAGGGGGAAAATAAAAATTACTTTTATTAAAAATTAAACAACATATAACGCCGCGAGATATATAAACTAAAATTTAAACTAAGTTAAATATCGCCGATCGAGTATTTTATTTCAGTTGGTGAGTAATGGTGGAGGTTTGGGGAAGGGGAATTTCATCAATGCCCCTTTTGTACAGGGGCTGCTACGGGTGTAATCCTTCTTTCCTGAAAGATTTAGCCCAATCTACCGTTTAGTTAAATTTAAAAAAAATTACAAGTAATTTTTTTAAAGATTTTCGGGGTATTTTAAAAGTGGCTGAGTCCTGGTGGGGATTTGGAGGGGAGTTCATCAATGCCCTTTTGCACAGGGGTTGCTACGGGTGTAATCCTTCTTTCCTGAAAGATTTAGCCCAATCTACCGTCTAGTTATATTTAAAAAAAAATTAAAAGTAATTTTTTTATAGATTTTCGGGGTATTTTAAAAGTGGCTGAGTCCTGGTGGGGATTTGGAGGGGAGTTCATCAATGCCCTTTTGCACAGGGGTTGCTAAGGGTGTAATCCTACTTTCCTGAAAGATTTAGCCCAATCTACCGTTTAGTTAAATTTAAAAAAAATTAAAAGTAATTTTATTATAGATTTTCGGAGTATTTTAAAAGTGGCTGAGTCCTGGTGGGGATTTGGAGGGGAGTTCATCAATGCCCTTTTGCACAGGGGTTGCTACGGGTGTAATCCTTCTTTCCTGAAAGATTTAGCCCAATCTACCGTTTAGTTATATTTAAAAAAAAATTACAAGTAATTTTTTTAAAGATTTTTGGGGTATTATAAAGTGGCTGAGTCCTGGTGGGGATTTGGAGGGGAGTTCATCAATGCCCTTTTGCACAGGGGTTGCTAAGGGTGTAATCCTTCTTTCCTGAAAGATTTAGCCCAATCTACCGTCTAGTTAAATTTAAAAAAAAATTAAAAGTAATTTTTTTAAAGATTTTCAGGGTATTTTAAAAGTGGCTGAGTCCTGGTGGGGATTTGGAGGGGAGTTCATCAATGCCCTTCTGCACAGGGGTTGCTAAGGGTGTAATCCTTCTTTCCAGAAAGATTTAGCCCAATCTACCGTCTAGTTAAATTTAAAAAAAATTAAAAGTAATTTTTTTAAAGATTTTCAGGGTATTTTAAAAGTGGCTGAGTCCTGGTGGGGATTTGGAGGGGAGTTCATCAATGCCCTTTTGCACAGGGGTTTCTAAGGGTGTAATCCTTCTTTCCTGAAAGATTTAGCCCAATCTACCGTTTAGTTATATTTAAAAAAAAATTACAAGTAATTTTTTTAAAGATTTTTGGGGTATTATAAAGTGGCTGAGTCCTGGTGGGGATTTGGAGGGGAGTTCATCAATGCCCTTTTGCACAGGGGTTGCTAAGGGTGTAATCCTTCTTTCCTGAAAGATTTAGCCCAATCTACCGTCTAGTTAAATTTAAAAAAAAATTAAAAGTAATTTTTTTAAAGATTTTCGGGGTATTTTAAAAGTGGCTGAGTCCTGGTGGGGATTTGGAGGGGAGTTCATCAATGCCCTTTTGCACAGGGGTTGCTAAGGGTGTAATCCATCTTTCCAGAAATATTTAGCCCAATCTACAGTTTAGTTATATTTAAAAAAAAATTAAAAGTAATTTTTTAAAGATTTTCGGGGTATTTTAAAAGTGGCTGAGTCCTGGTGGGGATTTGGAGGGGAGTTCATCAATGCCCTTTTGCACAGGGGTTGCTAAGGGTGTAATCCTTCTTTCCTGAAAGATTTAGCCCAATCTACCGTTTAGTTAAATTTAAAAAAAAATTAAAAGTAATTTTTTAATTTTTTCGGTGTGTTGTTTAAGTGGCTGAGTCCTGGTGGGGATTTGGAGGGGAGTTCATCAATTTTCCACTTAATTTTTCAATTCATGATCATCTGATCTTCACTTTTTTAAGTATAAAACCATAGTTATATGACAATATTTCGGAATTTTGATTTGGAATTATTGTTTAAAACTGAATATTTCTTTCATAATTAATCCTGTCCCTTTAACACACAAAAACACATACACATTAATTTTATTAAATTTATTTGTTGTCAAAATTTTATTCTGCCTGTGAGAAGTGTCGAGTGCGCGGTGCCGAGAAGAGAGAAAGAAGTGCATGTGCTTGAGAATTAAAAACCACAAAGAAACCACTCGGAACGGGAAATAATTTAAATTAGTACTTTTACGGTGAAATTACGTTCCGGGACGCGAGATACTGAGACAAAACCAGTGTAAAATAGTTAGAAAAATACCTGTTGTGATAATAAAAAATATTAATTGAGGGGGAAAATTTCCCAAAATATTACATTTTAAAACCATCCCAATCTGTCCGTATCCTTTTATACAGCACAAAACGATGAGGAAAGTTTGGGGTGGTTTTAAAATGTATTAATTTTGGGAACTTTTCGCCCTCAAATTTTTGTACGTAAAACTGTTTTTCATTTCTCCTAAATGCATTTGTCCGAAAATTTATTTGTCCTAAAACCTGGATGCAAACTGCTACTTTTGGCGCTGCACGTGACTTATTGTCAGTGAATAAGCCCACACACTATTTTCGGTCTTCTTTTTAATATAAGATTGCAATGTAGCCGGATTAAAAAAAAAGCGTTATAAGGAATCACCTTTTAATTTATTTCTCATATTCAGCAAAATTGTTTTGAAGTAGAAAATGAAAATTTTTGAATGTTGAAAAAACTAAAAATGAACAAAAAAATTAAGATCACATTCATTCACAGTTCATTGGTTTGGCCAACAATTGATTATTCAGAAAGATAAAATAAAAATTATGGATAGAAACAATAATTTTAAATCCCAAGGATTTTAATTTTATTCAAGTTTATTGGTTCTAAATTTTTTTTTTTAATTTTATGAATCACATATTTATTGGCATTTTCTCCCTGTTAACAAACTATCCAATTTATCTCTCCTTTGCCTTTTTTTTGCAGAGCATAGATTGAATTTTTCCAGCAATAAACCCTTATAAGATTTTCAAATTTTTAGGACACTTATTTTTAGGACAAATGAAATGAAAAATTTAGGACAATTTATTTTAGGACCTTTGATTTTAGGACATATGACAAATTCAGTTTTAGGACAAATGATTTTAGGACAATTAACGGCGACTCATTTTTTATTATCACATCCAGAATTTTGTAACTTTTATACACTGGTTTTGTCTCAGTATCTTGGGTCTCGGAACGTAATTCCACGTAAAAGGTGTTTAGTAAAAAGTAATAATTATAAGTGCATTTGCACTCGCCGCCAATTATTGTTACAGTTATAGGCCTTGAGGCTTGATTCATTGGTCCATTTACAAATGTGTACCCTTTTCAAAACAAGATTTTTTCCTGCTTCATTATATTTGTTTGTTTCGCTCAAGTATTGTACAATCGCGCTCTGCGCTCTTGCATTACATAACTATACTTTGCTTATTATATTATTTCTTATTGCTTTCGTTTTAAATAATAAATAAATTTCAAAATTGCCTATTTCTACCATTAAGACTTTTAAAATTTAAATGCAATAAGATAAATACTAATTCAATTATTATTATTATGTTTTATTTATTCTTCTGTAAAAAAATTGTAAATTGGAAAAAAGAGAATAAAAGGTTCACAACCTGCAGATGTATGCTAAAACGCCCGATTTCAAAAAGGACTCGGCCGCCGCGTTAAACATTAAACCTACACTTTTTTAGAAAATTGAAAAAAAAATATATCTGTATGCACCAAGTGGTTAAAATTTATTTCACCCCAAACAATTTGATTTTTTTTATATAGTTTCTTTAAAAAAGGTCCCAATTTAAGCGACGCCATGTATTTGCAAATATTATTATTATTTTTTTTTTTCATTTTTCACCCTTTAAAACTCTTTACCCTAACATAAATGTGATCAAAATAGCTTTTACAACTAGAGTTTTCAGTTTATAATTTTTTTAAAGTAATGTAAGAATGTCAGTAAATTTAATTAAAAATTTAGATTTCCCATTCAAACGCATGTTAAAAATGATAAAAAAGTAGGAAACAAAAGCGCACGCGTCCTCTGTCGCTGTGTATATATTTTGCGTACTTTAGATCTCTCCAATGAAATTCAAATGGCATGGAGTTTAAATGGCAAAAATTAAACAAGGAAAATTAGGCAAAAAATTAATGGCCGTTCTAGGGTACCATTGGGTAGTAGGCTACACCATTAATAGTAGTTTGGTAGTTGTACACCATTAATGGCAACTGGGGAAATTTCATCAAAATTGGGGTGTCTCATCTCAAAACCATTACTTGTTAATAAAACTCAATAGGCCAATTTTGAAGCAAAAGTGTTTCCGAATTTAATTGTTTTACTTGTCACAATATAAGGTATATTGGGACTTCAATTGGATTATATTTATTTCCAACCCCCAAAAACCCTGCCCTTCCTTTTTATTGTTTTTATTGTGTGCTCGACAATTCATCATTTTCATTCGATAAGTGTGTTCGCGCTCATTTGATAAAAGTGCGAAGTGTGTGTTTGCCAGCGAGCAGTATATTGTGCGTGCAGGCACTTCTCACTTCTCTCGAAATATTTTACACATCAAATCTAATTCCGTTAAATTATTTTGATTTTTATTTGATCATTTTATTTGAAAAGCACTTAAAAATGATTTCACTTCAGCTAGGCGCAGGATTATTTAATTCAAGTACGGTGGCGAAAGTGGAGATTGAGCCGTTGAATAAAATGTTAAGATTACATTTATTTTTCATTTTCATTCCACCTGATACTCAAATAGTATACATAAATTTATGTTAGAAATAATGAAATAATAATAATATTGATTATTTTTATTGCAACTCTTTTATTGTTTGTAGCATGACAATACAAAAACCTAAATGAACTCTAAATCTCCATATTACAGGGTGGCCCCAAATTCAACGATAAATTTTAAATTTTCTGACAAATTGAACGGTTGTAGATATTTGAGTTTTCTCAGCGGGAGAATAAAGTTCAGCTGTAGAAGTTTTGTTGGTGCTATGGGCATCCTTTGCTGCAACGCATTGTTACTGAAAAATAACCACAACCACGAACGAAAAATTTCTCTTGCGATTTCAATGTTAATTTAAAAACTTTTAAAGTTTTTGGCTTATTAAACGGGAGTTTTTTTAGCCTCAAATTGGGCGAAAACCACGATTATGTTGTTTAAATTTTATTCCGGTAAGAATAAAATAGACTTTTTGACACTCATTTTATGAAAGAAAAAAAAAGGTTAGGTCAAATTTGACCTCACCAATTAATTCAGCTTGCCGAGTAAAGTACCAATTTTCGATGCACTTCCTATTTCGGTCTGTAAAGCATTAATATAAATAACTTGATTTTTTTTTTTTTATCAACTAGACGGTAGATTGGGCTAAATGTTTCTGGAAAGAAGGATTACACCCTTAGCAACGCCTGTGCAAAAGGGCATTGATGAACTCCCCTCCAAATCCCCACCAGGACTCGGCCACTTTTAAAATACCCCGAAAATCTATAAAAAAATTAATTTTAATTTTTTTTAAATTTAACTAAACGGTAGATTGGGCTAAATCTTTCAGGAAAGAAGGATTACACCCGTAGCAACCCCTGTACAAAAGGGCATTGATGAACTCCTCTCCAAATCCCCACCAGGACTCAGCCACTTTTAAAATACCCCGAAAATCTATAAAAAACTTACTTTTAATTTTTTTTTAAATATAACTAAACGGTAGATTGGGCTTAATCTTTCAGGAAAGAATGATTACACCCTTAGCAACCCCTGTGCAAAAGTGCATTGATGAACTCCCCTCCAAATCCCCACCAGAACTCAGCCACTTTTAAAATACCCCGAAAATCTTTAAAAAAATTACTTTTAATTTTTTTTTAAATTTAACTAGACGGTAGATTGGGCTAAATCTTTCAGGAAAGAATGATTACACCCTTAGCAACCCCTGTGCAAAAGTGCATTGATGAACTCCCCTCCAAATCCCCACCAGAACTCAGCCACTTTTAAAATACCCCGAAAATCTTTAAAAAAATTACTTTTAATTTTTTTTTAAATTTAACTAGACGGTAGATTGGGCTAAATCTTTCAGGAAAGAAGGATTACACCCGTAGCAACCCCTGTGCAAAAGGGCATTGATGAACTCCCCTCCAAATCCCTTCCAGGACTCAGCCACTTTTAAAATACCCTGAAAATCTTGAAAAAAAATTACTTGTAATTTTTTTTAAATTTAACTAGACGGTAGATTGGGCTAAATATTTCAGGAAAGAAGGATTACACCCTTAGCAACCCCTTTGCAAAAGGGCATTGATGAACTCCTCTCCAAATCCCTTCCAGGACTCAGCCACTTTTAAAATACCCCGAAAATCTATAAAAAAATTACTTTTAATTTTTTTTAAATTTAACTAGACGGTAGATTGGGCTAAATATTTCTGGAAAGAAGGATTACACCCTTAGCAACCCCTGTGCAAAAGGGCATTGATGAACTCCCCTCCAAATCCCCACCAGGACTCAGCCACTTTTAAAATACACCGAAAATCTTTAAAAAAATTACTTTTAATTTTTTTTAAATTTAACTAGACGGTAGATTGGGCTAAATCTTTCAGGAAAGAAGGATTACACCCTTAGCAACCCCTGTGCAAAAGGGCATTGATGAACTCCCCTCCAAATCCCCACCAGGACTCAGCCACTTTTAAAATACCCCGAAAATCTATAAAAAAATTACTTTTAATTTTTTTTAAATTTAACTAGACGGTAGATTGGGCTAAATATTTCTGGAAAGAAGGATTACACCCTTAGCAACCCCTGTGCAAAAGGGCATTGATGAACTCCCCTCCAAATCCCCACCAGGACTCAGCCACTTTTAAAATACACCGAAAATCTTTAAAAAAATTACTTTTAATTTTTTTTAAATTTAACTAGACGGTAGATTGGGCTAAATCTTTCAGGAAAGAAGGATTACACCCTTAGCAACCCCTGTGCAAAAGGGCATTGATGAACTCCCCTCCAAATCCCCAACAGGACTCAGCCACTTTTAAAATACCCCGAAAATCTATAAAAAACTTAATTTTAATTTTTTTTAAATTTAACTAGACGGTAGATTGGGCTAAATATTTCAGGAAAGAAGGATTACACCCTTAGCAACCCCTTTGCAAAAGGGCATTGATGAACTCCTCTCCAAATCCCTTCCAGGACTCAGCCACTTTTAAAATACCCCGAAAATCTATAAAAAATTACTTTTAATTTTTTTTAAATTTAACTAGACGGTAGATTGGGCTAAATATTTCTGGAAAGAAGGATTACACCCTTAGCAACCCCTGTGCAAAAGGGCATTGATGAACTCCCCTCCAAATCCCCACCAGGACTCAGCCACTTTTAAAATACACCGAAAATCTTTAAAAAAATTACTTTTAATTTTTTTTAAATTTAACTAGACGGTAGATTGGGCTAAATCTTTCAGGAAAGAAGGATTACACCCTTAGCAACCCCTGTGCAAAAGGGCATTGATGAACTCCCCTCCAAATCCCCACCAGGACTCAGCCACTTTTAAAATACCCCGAAAATCTATAAAAAACTTAATTTTAATTTTTTTTAAATTTAACTAGACGGTAGATTGGGCTAAATATTTCTGGAAAGAAGGATTACATCCTTAGATACGCCTGTGCAAAAGGGCATTGATGAACTCCCCTCCAAATCCCCACCAGGACTCAGCCACTTTTAAAATACCCCGAAAATCTTTAAAAAAATTACTTTTAATTTTTTTTTAAATTTAACTAAACGGTAGATTGGGCTAAATCTTTCAGGAAAGAAAGATTACACCCGTAGCAACCCCTGTACAAAAGGGCATTGATGAACTCCCCTCCAAATCCCCACCAGGACTCAGCCACTTTTAAAATACCCCGAAAATCTATAAAAAACTTAATTTTAATTTTTTTTAAATTTAACTAGACGGTAGATTGGGCTAAATATTTCTGGAAAGAAGGATTACACCCTTAGCAACCCCTGTGCAAAAGGGCATTGATGAACTCCCCTCCAAATCCCCACCAGGACTCAGCCACTTTTAAAATACACCGAAAATCTTTAAAAAAATTACTTTTAATTTTTTTTAAATTTAACTAAAGGGTAGATTGGGCTAAATATTTCTGGAAAGTAGGATTACACCCTTAGCAACCCCTGTGCAAAAGGGCATTGATGAACTCCTCTCCAAATCCCCACCAGAACTCAGCCACTTTTAAAATACCCCGAAAATCTTTAAAAAAATTGCTTTTAATTTTTTTTTAAATATAACTAAACGGTAGATTGGGCTTAATCTTTCAGGAAAGAATGATTACACCCTTAGCAACCCCTGTGCAAAAGTGCATTGATGAACTCCCCTCCAAATCCCCACCAGGACTCAGCCACTTTTAAAATAGCCCGAAAATCTATAAAAAAAATTACTTTTAATTTTTTTTAAATACAACTTAACGGTACAATGGGCTAAATCTTTCAGGAAAGAAGGATTACACCCTTATAGTAACCTTTGTGCAAAAGGACATTGATGAACCCTTACTCAATTTCACTTCAGGACTTGTCCATACTTTAAAATACATCTATAATAATTTTTTGAAGTTGTCTGTTCAAATTAAATTTTACCGTCTCTGTTCCTGAATTTTTAGAAAATTGCACACTCTATTATCAATAAGCCTTTAGTGTATTATACCACTATCCATCATGCAAGGCGCGCGGCCTTCCCCAAATGTCCCCTTTTAGGACTTATTCACTTTTAGAAAACTAGAAACCATTGTAAATCCTTCTTTTGTAGTTTATTTTAAAATACAAAAACTTTCATTTTCTTACCAGTTATTTCATCCATTTATGTAAAGCTTTTTATCGTCGACGTGCAGATGTTATTTCAAATGCAAGATTAAACGCGCCAAACATCTTTTTTGCTAACAGTGTAATTGAATACTAATTTTATTGCTCTAATTTGTTAATATATTTACTATATTTACTTATGTAATGTATTTTCTTTACAAATAATTTTTAACTTGCCCTTTAGCTGCCCTATCAGCCTTATGTAGCAATAATTAGAAATAATGCGACTCCGGGGAATTGCATTGATTAAAGCGGAAAAAGGTTACAAAATCACATTTAGGTTGGCAACATTGCTTTTTGTGTTTGGCTGTGAAAAGTGGCCAAGTTCTTTCGAGTGGCTATAAAAAGTGGCCAACTTCACACCGGTGTTATTTTATTGTCTTGGCTAAACTGTCGTCACCTGACCGACCTGTCAAAAAAGAAGGCCAGACGCAGTAGGGATGAATTTCTTCTAATTTTGCCGAAATTATTTTATTTTCGGCATGAATAAGTTACTAGGAGTGGCCCTTCTGCTGTTAGCAGCGTACCCTTGCGTAAAGGTAATGATAATTGATAATTTTTAGCTGTAACAGAACAAGAAGAGGCTAAAATTTAAACTGAAACTGTTTTCCTATTTTTTAACTCATGTTGTTATCATTTATTTACTTATGAATTTTCGTCTGAATAGGGACAATACGAGGACGCTAGATGCAAATGCATTTGCCCTAACCCTTCGGTGGTAAATGCATCGACTGATTCCAACAGAAAATACTACATAGGCAACGTTCCGCCAAATAAATGCAACTGCGACTCTGTCGTCCTGGCAAAAGTGGGCGACCTAATCAAAGGCAAAGAGCAAGAATTCTGTCCTCGATGCGAATGCAAATACGAGAGTCGAAACACTACAACTATTAAGGTTTGAAATCAATTAATACATATATTTTTGGTATTTTTATTTTTACATAATTTCAGGTTGTGGTGATAATTGTTTTATGGGCAGTCTCACTTCTCGTCGTGTACATGTTGTTCCTCGTCTGCCTCGAACCACTGATCAGTGGTCGAACAGGCAAGACTTATCAGGAGCACGTGAATGAAGACGAGAGTCACCAGATGACGACCACCCAGCAGCAAGGCGGTGTCCTGGATAGAGTAGGACACCAACAGGACAAGTGGAAAAGGCAAGTGCGCGAGCAAAGGAGGAATATTTACGATCGGCATACTATGCTTAACTGAATGGAGCCTCAAACTAAATGAGTGCAAAATTCAGATTCAACATTCTTGTCTCATAATATTAAGATTGTTTAGTGACAGAATTTATTAATTGATTAATGTTTTCAGTGATATGTGTTCTCCAGAATAAAGTAAATATTATAATATACCTTAAAAAAATGTATTCTATTTTGCTACATTTCTCACAGACTAGGATTTATTTGGTTTATAATTTTACTATCAAAAACTTCATTCAAATTTTCATCTTTTACACACAAAATACCTTAACTGGCAATATAATACAAATCTATGATTTTGAAAATAATTTGTTACCAAAAATGAATGAAGTTAAAATTAAATGATAACACAAAAACTGATAATGATGCATCTATGAACTAATGGGACTTGAAAAAGAAATAAAATAGTAGATATATCTCATGAACAAGATGAACACACACCAATTTTATTAGACGACTTCTGTTAAAAGATGAGTAAATTTTGTTTTTAAAAATTTTCAAAACTAGGTAATTCACATACCTACTTCTGTTATTACATTAAAAATCTACAAAAACTTAATGAACTTTGAACTTCTTGGGGTTAAATAAGAAAAAGCATAGTAAAAATATTCACATGAAGTACTTTTGACGCTGCTCAATGTATGTCCCGAGGGCAGTGTTGGGTTGCGTGTATTCATCACCGTCGAGTGTCACAACCAAGTCTTTCCTCTTCTTGACATTGGTTTCGTCCACTTAAAGAGATAACAAAAATATTGAAATCCTTTATGTAAATTGATTTTTTCTAAAATACACACCTTCAGCATCTAGGCCATGATACTGGCAAACAGCCTGATTTATAAACGATTCATACTTTGTCAGCTTTTTAATGCGCAAGACTTCTTTGGGCGTTTCAGCAAAAAACTTGATGAGCAGGTCCTCAATTTCAAACACCATAGCCTTTTAACAAATTAGAAATATAAATAAAATTGCCTTAAAATTAAACTTGATTGCAAAATTACAGGGTCAGTTGATTTCCTCTGAAGCACCTCCTTCAGATGTCGCTCAATCCTTTTGTATTCTGAGGGCATGGGCAGCCGTTTTGTTTCGCCTGCTGCAGCATCATTCGCGTTTTGATCTTTCAAAGACAGGACGCTGGAGCTCTTCTTCAAAAAGATGTCTTGGTTTGTCTGGTGGATAAATTCCCACCAAGCCTAAATAAAAAGTATTAATGATTAAATTGCATATATTCTAAAGAAGGTATAATGAACCTTCAAAAGGTTGTCATCTTGCAACAAAATTGCAAAGGGTGAGGGTCTGTTGCTCATAAAATCGTAAATGGTCATTTCGTATTCGTCTTTTTCGTTCCAACGCATCAAATCCTCCACTAAAAAAGTATGAAAAATGCTTTGAAAAATTTCTGGATGGACAATTTTGAAACATTCCATCTCTAAAATGTCTCATCCTTCGTTTTCCAGAGTGCTTGCCAGGGTGGGTGAGCACCAGAAGTTGGGGCTTTTTTGTCGGACTCGGACGTGATGCTGGCTGCGCCCTCAACGTGGACGCCTGCGAGGACACGGTCTCTGGGATGCTGCGACAAATTTATAGATAAAAACATTTACAATTTCTGATGTTTTGTAAATAATAACCTGAGTTCATCATCCGAGGTCGTCGGCTGGTTGTCAACATTGCCCGGCTGGTCATTATTTTTTTCAGGAATTTTCCGGTCAATGACCCCCATTTTATCTTCTGCGGTTTTTTGGCCAACGAGTAACCTGCCAGTGGTCTTACAGTGGATGCAGTTTTTGAAGAAAAACTAAAACATGTTTTATTTTGGTCCTTTCACTTTTGTTTTCTCGACCAAATCATCAAAACAAAAGCTTATTTCTTCGGGACACGCCCCCCTCAACCAGATGGATCGAAGCAGAAAAACATCATGGCGCTCGCCCCGATTAATTTGTATTGAGGGGCAAAAAACTTTACTTTGGATCGTTTATAGATGTTGAAAGCGCTCAAGCAAACCTACACAAGCAAGGAAAAATCACTTTTGAAGGATGAGCGTAAAAACTTGGAGGAAAGTCATGTAGGCGATCAGATTTTAGAGGACATCGGCAGGTCCATCAAACTGGTGCGTAAATATGCATGATTGACCTCCTATGGTGATTCGTGATTCCGCAATGACCAAGGCAATGACTCATAGATGTGCCCTTTGACCAATCACTATAGATTCATTGTCCTTTAATTTATACGTAATAAATTAACATTTAGAAATTTTGGCACGCAAAGACTTTCCTTGTTTTCGCTCGGATTGAACTTTTTATTTTTTCCGCAGCTGCTGCAGTATGGTTTGACCAAAGAGAAGATCCGCTCGGAACTGTGGGTTGTGCAGGACTTGTGTCATCGGCTGGACGTTGCCCTTCGACATGGCCTTCGACGTCCCTCGGCAGGCTACTGGCCGTATGTTCGGCACTTCACTCACACTGACAACGTCAAATTATTAGAACGAACTTGCTCACGAAGAAGAGCCACTCTGGATAAAAGTAATAATAATTTATTTTAACTTTTCCGCTTAAATCTTATTATATAATTTTCTAGGCTCTGCTTGGCTGTATCATTCACTCAACGAAGGCTCACTCGAAAGTTACTTGAGAGCCTTTGCTAGGGAGGGCAATTTAGTGAGCAAGCACTTCTACAAATTTGCACTTTTGAGAGATGAGCAACAGCGAGATCTACTTGTCGGCCTTTTAGCCAGCATCCAAGATTTTTCGTTTGATATTGCCTTGGTGTGTAAAATCAAGATAATAAAAATTCAAATAAGTAATTTTCATTTAACCTTCCATAGCAATCTTTTGAGTCAGTGAAGAGCTCTGAGGATTCTCTACCATCACCAGAGGATTCAGGGATTGCAACTGCTGATAGTGACCTCAGTGAAATAATGGACAGCCTTGGAGATAGAGATGTAAATTGATTTAGGGAAGTTTTTTTTTAAATTTTACTAAATATTTTGTTTTGAAATTATAGGAAAGTTCTACTTTGAATGAAATTGAGGACAACCGGATCAACAAAGTAATTTCTATGGACATGGAAAAAGTTGTCCTGCGTTCACCGAGGCGAGATCCACAAAGGCACTTGAAGCGAGTTTCTTTCAACGAAGAGCTGAAGAAAGAGTTCTTTAGCAAGCGTCACAGCTGGTGCATGGAAAGTTCCATCACTTCCAGCACACTTAGTCTCCCCTACGATGACCAGGTTGTTTTCGAAGGGGATGAACCACCGACCATCAATGAACTGCAAAGCCTTCAAGGGAAACTGGAGTTAATCAAGCAACGAAGAAAGTTGTTTTTGAAAAAGGCAGCACTGGGAAAGAAGAAGCAGGTGAATCTACGGTTGTACTATCCAAAGGCTGTTGTCGACAAAGAGGCGTGTCGTGAGACGGAGCTGCAAATTTCAAGGGAAATGCAGAAGATGCAGAAATTGGTGAGAGGAGGCGAAAAGCTTAAAAAGCTTGGTATTCAAACCTACTTTAATTTCAGCAAGTAGAGGATAAAAATGACATGTACCTTGATGAGCGGCTGTTAGAGATTTTAAGGAAAGACGTTTTTGAAAAGACCAATGAAAGTATCTCAAAGGTAAATAAGTGTGAAATTTGTATAGATTTGGTATTGAAAAGACTATTTTGTTAGGTTTTTAAAGGATACGGTCCTATTCTACAACCAGGAATTTCACCACTGCTCATAATCCTAACCAATCTGGGCCTTTACGCTGTCTGCCACTCAGACTCTAAGATAAAACCAAAGTTTTCGTGCAGCTACGAACAGCTGGAAGCAATCCTGGTACTTTTTAAATTGGAAGAGCATTTGTCTCAAAATAAAATTTTAAAATTGTATTTACAGTTTGGCCCAGAGGGACAAACAGTGCTGTTTTCCAGCAAATCCAAAGACAAATACTTGATCTCGCTATCCGACTGTCCCGACTCAACTCCAGCAGCCATCATCAGCTCCATCGAGTTGGCCATGAGGAAGTTGCGGTTGCTTCCTGCAGCTTGGAAGCAGCTGACGTTGCCGGAGATGAAGGCCCTGCAGCGTAGTCTGACCAAAATTGTGCCGTCTCTGAAAGGAGAACAGCTGCTTTGGCATCAGGTTGTGCATGTTCAAGATGCCAGTCGTCATAATGGCGCAGCTGAGGCTGTTAAGGAGGGGCTGCTGATGATCAGGATTGGAAATGATGGACCTTGGCAACCATCATATTTGGTCTTAAGGTGAATATAATTTTATAAGTTTAATCCTAGTAAAGTAATAGTAATTAAAATTTAATTGTAATCATATAATTTGAAAGTTCAGTTTCAATTTGAAATAAATAATTAGTGAATTGATGAATAAATTATTTAATATTATTTTCTTCACAGGGATTGCGAGCTTTGGGTATTTGGAGATGAACTGGACCACGAGCCGCAGTTGGTTGTTGGAGTTGCGCGTTGTGTTGCCTGTGGCCGAGTGCAATTGCCAGAGCGGCCGCACACCTTTGAAATTCAATGTGGCCGCAGCTCTCTTCCTCTCCAGCTGGCCGCAGCTGACGAATACGAGGTCTCGGAGTGGCTACAAGCCCTGCTCCAGGCGGCCTGCGGCCAACATGCCGTGCAGCAGGCCAAGCTTCAGTTGTGCGGTCTGGTGCTCAGCAGCGGCCACTTGTTAGTCTACCGTCTGGACCGCAACTCTCCCGACCCAGTTTTCTGCACTCAGTTGATCCACGTGACGGCCATCAGGGCGGCCGACTCTACCTGGTGCACCCTCGAGTTTGAGTGCACCGAAGCCAAGGAGAACGGAGGCGATTGGATTTTGTACTTTGACTGCGCCGCCAATCGAGCTGAATTTTTCCAACAGATGGAAGCTGCGTGGGCAAAACTTCCTCAGGTAACATTCCATAACTAGTTAATTTATTGTAATCAAATATTAACTTATTTAAACATAAACCCTTCAAAATGTTTCACATTATAAAGTAAATATTATTTTACATAGGTCTTGCCTGTTCCCTCTACGAACTTTGTTTCCGACTTGCTTCTGCAGAGGTGTGAGGAGGCCAGTGTGCAGCTGATCTCCTCCTGGAACCCACTGATCAATTTCGGCTAAAGTTGAAGACTATCTGCTGCATTTATTTCCCCCCACTAGTCTCTTGCTTGGTTGGGATCAATATCTTTTAATGCCAGTCTTTATTTTGTCTGCGAGTTGAGCTCAAATGACATAATTGTGCAATTTCTTGAACTGGTAGTTTGTGTATCAGTTTTGGCTAGTCTTAAATTTTTTCTGCACAAGTGAGTTGTGAATCTCAAAAGTAACAAATTCATCATTCCAGAATCTCAAATTTCTTTCTAATCTGAATGCAATGAACCAACATTATTTATTATACTTCTATCTTTTATTTTTAAAGATGTATTTTATTTTTGTTATGCGCCAAATATTTCTGAAAATGCAGCTTTACCTGAATCATTAAAGGTATTTTAGTGACATTTATTACGCTTGAATTTAGATGGTACATTGCTTTTGATGTTAGCTATAATATAAAAAAGCAAGCACCGAAATATAAGAATCAATATTCTCTCTAACTATGATGTAAATACAAATATTAGCAATTATCGGTGTTCCAAATATAGCTCTATGTATGAAAATAATATATGCGAACAGTGTAAGAAAAAAACGGTAATCTCTTTGCACCTTTGCTGAAAATTGTAATTGTAAGAATTTTCATAAGATTGGTGCTCATTAATTTCAAATATACTTTGTTTAGCTATTGTGATTTAAGTCTAGCAAATTCTCAAATTTTGTTCTTCTTCATCTTGTTGATCAAGAGTTTTAATTTGATGGCCGGTCCAATTTTAAAATGATGTTTCCATTATCCCAAAAATAAACATGCTTGGCACTGGAATTTTTTTAATTTTTATCCATATTTCATAACCCTTAAAAAGCTTAAAAATATAAACAATTTATAAAGTTGAAAATCGCCCAATATTGTCTGTGATGAAGGTGAAGTTCAAAAACTGTACATTTCCAAAGGCAGCCGTGAAACATAATTTAAATTTAAAAATCTTTTTCTTGCGCGCCTGCAGAATTGATTGGGTATGCAACCGTCAAAGCATCCAGCTCGTCAAAAGCAAAAAAACACAAATAAATACATCTGGAAAGCGAATAATTAATTATTTGATAATTAATTGTAAAATTTTATAAGTACTTTTTAAAATTTTAATAGACTTCAAAAATCCATGATGTATTCCAAAACAACGTATTTGTCGGGTGCGTTTCCTAGAATCACTATTGTGCCTTTTTGTAATTTGCCACCATTGGTATGAAATAACCTTGCATGAAACTTCCTTCACCACCACTAAACAAACAATACCTATTTCACTTGAATTTTTCTGACGCTGCATATTCAAAAAACGAGATCGATGAATATTTTGCAACAAAAATTGATATTTTTCACATGCACAATGCGATTTAAGGTGACAACAGTCCTCTTGATTTTATTGCTGGTAAGGAACTTCCACGTAATTGTAATTGATCTCATGTCTCTGATAATAATTTAATAGACACTGATTATTGTCGATGGAAAGAAAAAGAAAACTTCGCGCATTAATAATGCGGGTAATTGACAAAGAAATTATTACGCAAGAAAAAATTCATATGCTGAAATTTTAATGTAGCCGCATTGCAAACGAACAGAAATCAAATCGTGAAATGTTGTGGCCACCAATCTTGCTCAAATGCGCATAGGAAGGGAAAAAATAAAACAATTTCCACAAATCTCAAATTGCTATCGACTCAAACGACAAGCACGGTTTATATGGTTTCAACTTCTCCTTCTGAATTTGCAGAGACAACATATAATGAGCCATTAGTGATGAAAATAAATTGAATTATTTTCTGTAATTTTAACATTAATATTCAATATTTAAGAGAACTGCTGGAGATCTGGAAACTACATTGAATTCTCAAGCTGATGCTACTATTGCGTTAACTATTATGAATACAAAAAGTGAAACGAAGCCCAGTTCACTTGATACCAAAACAGTAAGAAACGTCAAATTTTATCACGCACACCAAAAAAATAATAAAAAATACATTGGCAGATTCCAACATTGAGTTTCAGTTTTTCAACTGAGACTTCAATTGAGGGAACAACTGCAATACCCGAAACTACCCAAAATATTATTACGTCATACCTCAGTTCGATGAGTTCAGCAACTTCGCAATTGACGCAATCGTCAACTTTCTCAACAATCACTTCTACCGGTTCTACCTCGAACCCTTCTTTGAATACCCTAAATACGACCCAATTTGTTAACTATACATCACCTCTAAACACGTACACAAGTTCTCAAAGCACTGCTAAACCTATCACTAGTGCAAATACTACGACAACTAAGTCAAAGTGGCTCGTCGTCACAGTGACAGTCAAAAGGCAAAACGAAACCACTGCTAATTTAACGAAACCCCCTCAACCAACGACAGCTCGGCCGAAAGTGTGATTTTATTTTTAACCAAAAATCAGCTTAATTAATTCAAAATTAGGTTATTCCTGGCTGTCCTTCAAACTGCTCTAAACAGGTTTTATGCTTTATACTTTAAATAAAAAATTAATATTTTTCTCATCAAATATTTTGAAATTTCTAGAAATCGTTTTTCAAATCGGATAATATATCCTTGAATGAACCGGAGGATCATGGTTTCTGGGAAAGTGCGTGTGGTGAAATATTCCTTTTCGGCAAAATTTTGGTGAAACACTTTTGTTTAAATAAATAATTTAATTTGCCAATTATTTCACGCGATTAAAGGTTAATTGGGAACAAAACATGAAAAGGTGTTGCGAATTAGGAATGCAGCCGCTCGCGCTGGAAACATTGGAAAAGGCGACGTGTTTTAATACATTCATAAACGGTGGCGACAAAAATTTTAGTGTGTGTAGAAATCGTAAAATATTTAAAAATTTAGGTTTGTCATGGAAGTACAATTCGCGTTACTGGACCTCGGGAATCCGAACTGATTCCAGCAACACTTCATTCCGATGGTGCTCGACTGACAAAAACGTATCCAAAGAACTTTGGGCAGGTGCACAACCGGACAACGTCAACGGGACGGAAAACTGCGCCCAGATGGTCATTTATACAGAGTGGAGCAAAGCCCTTCTTGAAGACAGGCACTGCGGCGCGTTGAGTGCTCTTGCCTGCCAGGTTGCCTACCTAGATTTTTTAAGGGGCTAAATTTAGTTAAATTCTCTTCGCAGGGTCCGCCAACTCCAAAACCGCCGTGTGAGTCACCAACCTGTCCGACGATTGCGTGCACCAAAAAAGTATCAGATAATTATATTTTTCCCATATTATTAACTTGGAAAACATAAAAGCCCCAGTTTTTCAAGATGCTTCCAGACGGAATCTCAACGTATTTGGAGTGTAAAATTTATTGTTTAATTTTGTTCCTTTAAAATTTCCTTGTTCTTCAGACCCAAAAATTCATGGAATATGGGGTGAAACCGACTCGAGGGCGTTCTTATTTAGTTTCCCAAATGATACTCGCAACGTATTATTTGATTTCGTTTGGCGAAATGAGAATTTCGAAAATTTATTTCCTTATAGTTTCAAGATTCTATGAGTGCGTGTTGTGCGATTGGGCTTAAACTATTGAGTCTCTACCAGAGCATGACTTACGACATTGTGGGCAGTGTTTTCAAGCAGGGTAATATTTATTTTTAATATATTTATATTTTACAAAATAAAAATGTAATATTAAATTAAGGAAGTGGCGATACATCAGTTTTTTGGACCTCGGGCACTGACGCTGGTTGTGAAGATTATTTCGGCTACTGTTCGACAAATCGACTGGCTCGTGAGGAATCGCGGTGAAAAGAAAATTTTTAAGTCGGAAATAAAAAATAAATTATCAAAGTTGGAAGGAAAATCAGCCAGACAACGCGAATGGCAGTGAAAACTGCCTTGCTCTTGAGATAAAATCGGGAGTGGCTTTGCTTCAAGACGAAAACTGCGATAAAAAATTTCGCTACATTTGCGAAGTACTTTATTCTTTTAAATAAAATTTCGCTTTTCTCAATTTTGACTCATTCTCAAGGGAAGACTAAAGAACGGCATGGAAATTGTGAAGAAAGAATGCGCTCTTACGTTCAATATTTCAGATAGTGCATGAAATAAATTAATTGTTATATAGTTTCTTCATTGCGTTCCCTAAATTTGACAGATGAAATTGACGTAATGTATAACTTCTCTATGTTCACTCCATCAGAGAAGTGCTTTTTGAAATGTTTCGGCGAGGGGGCAGATCTGGTTAGATATTGATTGATTTCTATTGATTTGAGCAATTTTTTATGCAATTTGTAGTTTGTAAATGGTCGGCTTTTGGAGGAGAAAATTTTTGCGCAATTCAATGTTCTGGCTGCCGGCGATATTGATCGACTAATGGACATGTACTCAACTTTAAACTACTGCTCCAATCTAACCAGTAGATTTAATTAAATAATAAAAAATATGGCACAAAAAGTAAATTTTAATTTCAGGAGGGATGGATGAGTGCGATAAAATATCCAGAATGATCAAATGCGGCAGAGACAATTCACCAGACGTAGTGCAAAGCCTGATTTCTTCTTTGGAGAATTCGATTGCCGTAGCTTTTTTTATCCCTATATAGTGATTGTTTTAAAATATATTCAAATTCAGCCAGCACCACTGATTCTGCCTCCAACAGAGGCTGTGTGTCCGACTTTCAAATGCGTAACAATGGTATTAAAAATTGAACAATTAAAAAAAAATGATTAATAGTAAAATATTTAGGACTACAGGAAACAGGCCATAGATGCAGTATTAAGTATTTATTTTTAGAAACAAGTATTTAAAATGTTTAAAAATAAATTCATTTTCATTGTAGACTATTCCAACAACTTTAAGTTATTAGGCGATTCTGGGAAGGTCACATTTATGTGCGGGAAGAAGTTTTTTATGATCTACACAACGCCTGAATTGTGGACCGTCCCTGCATTGTATGAGAAGTGTTGCGCATATGGAATGCGCCTAATGACCGTGGAAACACTCGAAAAATTCCAATGCGTTTCACAGGGAATAATAAGTAAATTTTTAAATTATTTGTCTGATTGAAATTAAACCACAAAAAAAAACACAGCTTTCGGTGGACCAGACGTGTACTTTCCTGTGGCTGCTTCTAGGCTTGGAGCTATTGACAAACCTAAGTGGTGTTATTCAAATAAACCACTTGATCCTGTACTTGTGGCGTATTTAGCCAACAACACTGATCCATTGAATTATTTAATCATGATGAATTTCTATAACCATAGTACTTTTGCTCCAATTATAGCAGGGCATCCCTATTCTAATAACATTGCTTGTGAATCAGTGGATTAAAATGCTTTTTGTTTTTGCTATAATACTGAAAAATTTTTTTTTCAAAACTTATCAAAATTACACGTGAATCAGATTTTGAGCAATTTGTCCAATCAGAAATATTAAAGGTATCAAACAATAAAAGATGATTTTTTATTTTTTCCCACTTCTTTAGTTAAAATTTTCTGGTAAAAATGAAAATACGTTTTATAACAGCGATAGTAGGATGAAAAATATGAACAGGCAAAAAACTGTAGCAATAACACTGAAATGATACATGTGGATGAAATTTAATTAATTTTTATTTGGCAACTAAATTTGGAGAAAAGATAAAAATTTTCTATTATATTTTTAATTGCAATAAGTTTTACAAAATTCTATGATTTATGTTATATTGTGAAACGCAATATACCAGAGGTATGTGCGTTTCCCAGAATTGCTATTGTGTCTATTTTATTATTTGCCACCATTGGCTGTAAAACAAGTTTGCGCGATATTTCCTTCAACCCCGCTAAACAAACAAAACTATTTCATGTGAATTTTTTCTGACGCTCAAAAAATGAGATCGTTGAACATTTCACAACACAAATTGTCATTTATCATATCAGACGCACAATGCGATTTGAGGTGGCAACATTACTTTTGATTTTATTGTTGGTAAGAAACCTTCGCGTATTTGAACTTGATCTCTCCCTACATTAATTTACTAGACCTTGCAAATCGTTGATGGAAAGAAAAAGAAAACGTCACGTTTTAATAATGCAGGTATTTGAAAACTATTACAAAACGACAGAAGCACACAAATTAAAATAAAAAATTTCGAAGCAGCTGCATTGCAAAAGAGTAGAAATCAAATCGTCAAATGTTGTGGCCACCAATCTTGCTTGAATATGCCTAGGAAAGAAAAAAATACAACAAGTTTCTCAAAAATAATTATGTCTTATTCGGCGCAATCGACAATCACGTTCCCAATGGTTTTATCTTCTCATTCTGAGTTTGCAGTGACTAAACTTGATGAGTCATTAGTGAGAAAAAAATAAATTGCAATTAATTTGTGTATATAAAAATTTCAAAATCCACAAGAGACCTAATAATGATTTGGAAACTATGACTGTAAAATCTCAAACTGACGCGACTACTTATGAAGAAACTACAACGCTAACTACAGAGAATTTGGAGCAAAAAAGCGGAAGCAAAGAAAGTCTTTCCTTGGCGGTGACCAGCTTAATAACGAAAAAAACAGTAAGACACATCAACATTACCCTCAATAAAAAAGTGTAAAAAAAAAAACATCAGCAGATTCCTACTACGATAAGTTCCAGTTTTTCAACTGAGACTCCAATTGAGGGAACAACTGCAATACCCGAAACTACACAAAATATTTTTACGTCATCCCTCAGTTCGATTATTTCAATGATTTATCCAACTAGTTCCACAACTTCGCCGAATTTGCAATCGACGCAATCGTCAACATTCGCTGCAATCACTTCTACCGGTTCTACCTCGAACCCTTCTTTGAATACCCTAAATACGACCCAATTTGTTAACTATACATCACCTCTAACCACGAGTTCTCAAAGCACTGCTAAACCTATCACTAGTGCAAATAATACGACAACTAAGTCAAAGTGGCTCGTCGTCACAGTGACAGTCAAAAGGCAAAACGAAACCACTGCTAATTTAACGAAACCCCCTCAACCAACGACAGCTCGGCCAAAAGTTTGATTATATTTTTAACCAAAAATCAGCTTAATTAATTCAAAATTAGGTTATTCCTGGCTGTCCTTCAAACTGCTCTAAACAGGTTTTATGCTTTATATTTTAAATAAAAAAAAAAATTAATATTTTTCTCATCGAACATTTTGAAATTTCTAGAAATCGTTTTTCAAATCGGATAATATATCCTTGAATGAACCGGAGGATCATGGTTTCTGGGAAAGTGCGTGTGGTGAAATATTCCTTTTCGGCAAAATTTTGGTGAGACGCTTTATTTTAAATAAATAATTTAATTTGCTAATTATTTCACGCGATTAAAGGTTAATTGGGAACAAAACATGAAAAGGTGTTGCGAATTAGGAATGCAGCCGCTCGCGCTGGAAACATTGGAAAAGGCGACGTGTTTTAATACATTCATAAACGGTGGCGACAAAAATTTTAGTGTGTGTAGAAATCGTTAAATATTTAAAAATTTAGGTTTGTCATGGAAGTACAATTCGCGTTACTGGACCTCGGGAATCCGAACTGATTCCAGCAACACTTCATTCCGATGGTGCTCGACTGACAAAAACGTATCCAAAGAACTATGGGCAGGTGCACAACCGGACAACGTCAACGGGACGGAAAACTGCGCCCAGATGGTCATTTATACAGAGTGGAGCAAAGCCCTTCTTGAAGACAGGCACTGCGGCGCGTTGAGTGCTCTTGCCTGCCAGGTTGCCTACCTAGATTTTTTAAGGGGCTAAATTTAGTTAAATTCTCTTCGCAGGGTCCCCCAACTCCAAAACCGGCGTGTGAGTCACCAACCTGTCCTGCGATTGCGTGCACTAAAAATGTAGCTTCATATTTTTAATTTTTTTATTTTACCTTTTTCAACTAATTTTCTTTAAATCCAAATGAAGCCCCAATTTTTTAAGACGCTTCCAGACGGAATATCAACGTATTTGGAGTGTAAATTTTAATATTGTAATATATTCCACTCAATTTATTTAATCTACAGACCCAAAAATTCACGGACTTTGGGGTGAAACCGACTCAAAAACGTTCCTTTTCAGTTTCCCAAATGATACACGCAGCGTAATATTTTAGTTTTTTATTCGGATGTAAATTTATTTCTTAATACATAGTTTCAGGATTCTATGAGTGCGTGTTGTGCGATTGGGCTTAAACTATTGAGTCTCTACCAGAGCATGACTTACGACATAGTGGGCAGTGTTTTCAAGCAGGGTATTATTTATTTTTAAAACATTTTTATGATATAAACAAACAAAAATTAATAAAATAAGGAAGTGGCGAAACATCAGTTTTTTGGACCTCAGGCACTGACGCTGGATGCGAAGATTATTTTGGATACTGTTCAACAAATCGACTGGCTCGTGAGGAATCGCGGTGAATAATTTAACATTCCGCAGATATAAAAATTAATAATCAAAGTTGGAAGGAAAATCAGCCTGACAATGCGAATGGAATTGAGAACTGCCTTGTTCTCGAGATAAAATCGGGAGTAGCTTTGCTCCGAGACGAAAACTGTGATAAAAAATTCCGATACATTTGCGAAGTAATTTATTCCTGCAAAAAGGTCGAATTTGAAATTTTTATTTATTTTAAAGGGAAGGCTAAAGAACGGCATAGAAGTTGTGAAGAAAGAATGCAGCCTTGCATTCAATATATCTGAAAGTGAATTTATTTTTAATTATTTTTTTTCACCATTCCATTCCCTAAATTTGACAGACGAAATCGGTGCAATGTATAACTCCTCTCAATTCACTCCGACTCAAAAGTGCTTTTTGAAATGTTTTGGCGAGGGGGCTAATCTGGTTAGATATAATTTTTATCTTGATGCAAAGTAATTTATTTTACTGTAATATCCAGTTTGTCAATGGTAAGCTTTTGGAGGAGAAAATTTTTGCGCAATTCAATGTTCTGGCTGCCGGCGATATTGATAGACTTATGGACATGTACTCAACTTTAAACTATTGCTCCAATCTAACCAGTAGGCTAAATTAAAATAACTGTGAAAAATGATTAAATGAATTTTAGGAGGGATGGATGAGTGCGATAAAATATCTAGAATGATAAAATGCGGCAAGGACAATTCACCAGCAGTAGTGCAAAGCCTTACATCTTCTTTGGAGAGCTCAATCGCAGTGATTTTTAACCTCTTCATAGTGATTTCTTTGAAAATAAATTACATTCCATTTCAGCAAGCTCCGCCGATTTTGCCTCCAAAAGAGGCTGTGTGTCCGACTTTCAAATGCATAGCACTGGTATTAAAAATTGAAGAAATTAAAACAAAATTATTCATAGGAAACAATTTAGGACTACAGGAAACGGGCCATGGATGCAGTATTAAGTATTTAATTAAAAACAAACATTTTTTTTAAATATTTTTACAAGTTTTTCATTTTCATTTTAGACTATTCAAACAACTTTAACTTTTTAGCCGATGCCGGGAAGGTCACAACTATGTGCGGAAAGAAGTTTTTTCTGATCTATACAACGCCTTCATTGTGGACAGCCCCTGCATTGTACGAGAAGTGTTGCGCATATGGAATGCGTCTAATAACTGTGGACACACTCGAAAAATTCAAATGTGTTTCACAGGGAATAATAAGTAAATTGGTTTTAAATTTTGTCCGATATTTAAATTAAATCACACAAAAAACAGCTTTCGGCGGACCAGACTTGTACTTTCCGGTAGCTGCTTCTAGGCTTGGAGCTATTGACAAACCCAAGTGGTGTTATTCAAATAAACCACTTGATCCTGTACTTGTGGCGTATTTAGCCAACAACACTGATCCATTGAATTATTTAATCATGATGAATTTCTATAACCATAGTACTTTTGCTCCAATAAAAGCAGGAAATTTGGGAAATTCCTACACTAATTACATTGCCTGTGAATCAGTTGGATAAAAATGCATTTGGAACTTATAACATAATTCTTCCTTAAAACTAATAAAAATTAATTGGATACCAAATTTTGAGAGAAATTTGTTTATTTACAACAGCAAAAACATACTAAGATGAAATAAAATTAAATAAAACCAAATAAAACGCTTTAATTTTAGCTCCGTTCATAATAAAAAAGAGATATTTTAAAAAGCCAGTTTTTAGAACTTGATATTTTAAATATTTTAATCAATTTAATTCTTTACATCAATATATGGGCGTTAAAATTTTCAGATTTTTTCAGCACTTTAACAATGAAACATCAAATGCATATTTTAACTTGCATCAGAAAAGCAAATCCGAAACCAAATCTTCAATTTCCTCCCAGAAGTACCAGGCAGCTCCACCGGCTGTAGTTGCAACTCCTCCGGCCGCACCAGCCGCGGCGACGTAGGTCCATTGTTGGAAACCACCGACCTCTTCATCGTTTTTGGCTAAAGACGGAAATAAATTTCCCCAAAAATGTAACAATAAAAAGAAACGTGCACCACAAATTTCTAGAAAAGTTGATTCTTGGCACAATCCAGGGAAGGAAGAAAGAAAATTTTCATCTTTGCAGGGATCCGAAATTTTGTCTTCCGGTGAGGAGCACAGCGATGGGTAGACCTTGGAGGGCTCTTTGCAGGTTGGCGTGCCAACTTCGTACGGGTCTGGTCTCGCCGAGTTTGCATTGCTTGCAATCAGACTTCTAATCACAAGTTGTGTAGAAAACACTCCTGATTTTCTAAATAAATCATTAAAATAAAAAAGTTTAAAAAATAAGCAAATGTTAATTAATATGAAAATTAAACTTACTTGGCCACCTTTTCAAAATCCACAGAGGCTCTGGAAATAATATTTAAATAGTGATAGAAATAATTGGATTTTTTATTTTTAAAATCTACCCTGGTCCAAAGAAGCAAACAAGATGCGTTTCTTGAGCGCTATTCCTCGTAGTAGGTTTAATATGAATTCGACTGCAGCCGATAAAAGTATTTTTAGCCAGCACAAGCTGAAAACCCATAAATATTTATCTTTAATTATTTATAATTTAAAAATACAATTAATACCTGAGCGTAGTCGTCTTTAATTGCTGCGTCTTCTTCGCTCCGTTCGAATCGGCCAGCGCAAATCACAGGCGCAAACAGCGTTTTGACGAGAAAATTTTCAACAGGCAACGTTTCCTGGTGCTCAATGTTCTCGTCGAACTCGATCTTGCCAAGTTCAAAGTGCTCTGAAACCAGGATTGTCAATTAAATTTATTAATAAATCAAATCTCAAATATAATTACTGTCCCAAACAAGGTTTTGGTTGTACAGGTCCATTTTAGGGCTCATGCACTGCTGAATGAACACTTTTATGACCAAATCAGCCACCCCATCGCTCCAAACCTTAAAAAAAATTGTTTAAATATTGTTTATAAATAGAAAACAAAAATTAACAATCTGGTTCATATTTTTGGCCGGAGGCTGGTGTTTAGCTTGGCCGCTGGCCACCAGGTCACGTAATTTGTTAGCCACGTGGACGACGGCCGATTTCTCCAGACTGCTCAGAGACGAGTCTTTTATTTAAAAAAATAATTAATTCATGAATTTTTATTCAGCTCCTACAGACTGACTCGTGACCTCGTCTCCAGTGGTGCAAATTTGGCGTAATCTGCAGTGCGGCTTTTCCGAATCGGGGCTCTGAGGGTCGCAACTTTTGATCACGGCTGCGACGGCTGCGGATTGAACCGTCGGCACCAAGCGTAAGACCAAAACCGTGACCGTCAAAAACGACATCAGCAAAAGACATCTTTGAGAAAACATTTTGCTTTTGAGCTGACTAACTTTTATGTTTTTGAGGATCTCCAACAATGAGAATGAAATTTTGAACATTGTTGAATGTTTTCATGTTCTTCGGCTATTTTTCATTGTTGTTTCTTACATTTTTCTCCTTAAGAAAATACTCCAAACAATCAGTCAACAACATAAGAGTATTCTTTGAAGTTGGAAAACTGTTCAAATGACTATTTTCCGTTCTGCAAAACACGTGCTATTTTAATGAGGCAGCATTTTTTTGCCCGTCGCTTTGCGTCAAATAAATTCTAGGAAAACACTCCAACACATTTTTCTTTTGAAGGCTGATTGTTGCACATAAATCAGCGACCATGTTGTTGCTACTTCCTTTTCCGCACAACCAACAGCAATAATTATTGTGCAGTTTTAAATGCTTCTAAATCAAGCAGAGCTTTAAAATTAAAATAAAAAAAAACTTTATGTGGATTGAAATTTCAATCAAACTTATATCCAAATTTTTATTATCAGTTTCATACACAAAGTGCATATCGGTTCATGCTCAGATTAAAAGACTGGATGTTCTTACTGGTAGGAATTATTGCATAAGCTTCCTTAGCGGGATCAGGTGCATCATATACAGCTGCGTAGCCTTCAAAAGTAAACTGCACGTTTGAAGTGCACCAGCGCGGGTTGAAAGGGCTGCCGATCTTGCTCGCGGCCACCCAAGACGACGTCACAGAAACAGGAGTGCCTAACATATTTTGAACAGAAATAAAAGAATTAATTTAAATTTTCCTTTGTATAGGTATTTATACTTAGTTGCGAAAGACAATTCAGTTCATCCACACTATCAATAGATGCCAATTTTAGTCCATAAATGCAGCAAATTCTAAATGCTTCAGTAAAATTAACCTGCAAAAATTGATTTATATAAAATGTTTTTTTAATAATCTAATTTTTTTTTCATTTGGATGGATGATATTTTAACTCACAAATACACCGTAGTTGAGGTATTTTTTACCACAGAGAAATCGAACATATCCATTGGTAATGGAAGCATTAGCTGTTGAATAATTCCAATGAGGAATTTGAGGAATTTTTTCTGAATAAATTTATTAAATTTTCTCACTCGTGCAATTCTGGTATTGTTGCTGTAAATTAGTCTGGTGGAAGTATTATTAATTTAAATGCTTGACTTTGATTTCAGGAAAACGAAATAAATTTTACATTAACGGCGCAACTGTTTGGGTCGGGACATTGTGCCTGCGGGAAGTTTTCGGACTTGACCTGAAATTTTAAAATTTCATTTTCCTTGGAATAAAAAAAATATTTTAATTGTTTTAATACGACTGGGGTCGAATTGTCCACGGCCGCGATGACGCCGTTCAACACGTCTGGCGCTTTATCGTTGCTGCACTTGATCATTTGTGCCGCTTTGTCGCACTCGTCCATTCCGGCTGGAATTCCAATTCGAACCATCAAACTTTTCAATGACAACGAGAGTCACCTGTAGAATTCGAGCACTCGTCCATAATGTTCATGTTTTTTTGCAACTCGTTTGTGTTTCCAGCCGCCATATTCTCCAGAATGACCAGAACATCATTTTCAACAAATTTGCCATTAACCATCTGGACAAATATTTGACATAAATTTTTAGGTTTTTTATATATTGATATCAAACCAAGCCAGCGTTGTCCCCTAGACACCTTAAGAAGCACTATTTAAAAAACAGTAATTTTATTGCTCTAATTAATTAATTAATTATTCACCTTAATTCTAATATCAAAGTTGCTTGTATTAGATAACAAATTATCAATTTCGTCTGCGAATATTTTGCGCTTCTTGATGAGTTAAGTTTAAAATATTGAAATAATTTATACTTTGAGTAACGTTATAAGCAGACGAGCATTCATCTCGAATAGGACCTCCCCCAGAGGTAGCATTTGCAGATTCTCGAACCTTTTTTTTTAAAGAAATACGTAAGAAATCAATTTAACAAACGAAGAAGTTTTTCGCTGACCTCGCAAATGAACCTAAACGTGGTGTTTTCGTTCAAATCTTTCAGCTGGGCACCGTTGAAGGTGTTTAAAACAACTCCTATGCTGTTTTCAACGCCTCCGTAATTATTTGGTTCACCCCTTGCCCAGATTGCCTCTTTCCGTACTAAACGCTTCGCTGTGCAGTAACCAAAGGTAGACTGGCAACCGCGATTTGTGCCCGAGGTCCAAAAAGTGTCTGGCGTAACCATTTTATCTGCAGGCATTGAAATCTCTTAAATTTTTTCTTCCTTTTTACATTTTAAATTTTTCCACTTTTGACAGCCGCGAGTATCGATTGGTATTTGTAGTCGTATTCCAGACTGAGCAGATTCATTCCAATTGCACAACAAGCCTGAATTGCTCCAAGGTACTTAAAAATTAAAATTAAATTATATTCATCATCGGATTTATTTTCATATTACAGTCCGAGTATTATTTGCGTAGCTGAAAAGATATTTTCGCCCCTTGTTATTGAACCAAATTCCGTGATAAGATGGATCTATTATTAATTTTATACATTTACGTCTCTTAAAGATTAAATTATAATTACCAGCTAAATATTGCTTTGAATTTGAATCACTTGTGTAAAGAGAGGGCTGAAAATTTAATTTCACTAAAAATAGCAATTTATAACAAATAATGCAATTTATACATTTTTGGTGCAAGTAAAATTTGGACAAACAGGCGCCGAGCACGCAGGAGCTGGAGTTGGCGTGCCCTGAATATAAATATTATTTTTGAATTTTAAATATTTGTCGAAAAAACCTGGCATGCAAATAGATATAAAGAGGAGCAGCTTTGGTCAGAGACTTGCAACGAAGCGTTCGCTTTCACTACACTCAAACTGAGACAGAATTCGCCACCGTTAGCGTTGTCTGGTTGGGCAGAGGCCCACGGAACTTTTGCCTTATCCACCAAAACCGAACCGTTTTTAGCACACCATGAAAAATCTGCACCTTTGCTGTATCCGGCGGTCCAATAGTTTGAGCCATATTTCCACACTGAAGCTGATCGTCATTGTAAATATTATAAAATTTAAGATTAAAAATTGTTATGTATAATTTTTTAATTGTTTTTTTTTTTAAATTTCATGAAAGGTGCAGAATGCAAAACTACTCACCCAACTGAGTGAAGCATTCTTGTTTAGCAATACTTTCTAGTGTCAACGGTTCCATTCCTATTTTGTAGCACCTAATGAAATTTTCCTCCCAAGTCACCTTTATTTGTATTTTTTTTTTAAAGTTTATTAAGATCATTATAATTAGATTAAGCAACAACGAAATTATACAAGAGATTTTCCAAAAACAAACTGTTGGTCACACGCCTGCTCCCAAAACCCGTACTTTTCTGGTTCTAAAAATAATAAGATTTAAGTTAAATAACAATAATTAATTTCTGAATTAATCAATAACCATTCACTGTTCCCGCGTTCCCAAAAGCAGCAGGCTATAAAATTAAATTTTTATAGGTGTTTTGTTTTGTTATTGAACTAATAGTTACATCTCTTTGGAAGGAAGTGTTGCATATCGGCGGGTTTTCCTAAATTGAATAAAAAAAAAATCAAATTTTTTTCTTCTTATTTTTGCTTCTTATTACTTCAACCGTTGTTGCAGTGGTTGTAGTAGTCAAAATTTTTGATGTTGAGGTGCTGGACATGGCGTCTGACAAGGAACTCGCTTTTTCAGTCGTTGGTGTTGTTGTTGATGTCGCCACCTCACTTCCAACCGTATTTACAATAGTGCTTCCAATCGTACTTCCACTCGTTTCCTGCTCTGTGGTCGCCTCAGCCACTCCATTACCATCAGACGAAACTTCAGGCGTAGCTCTGTGTTTATAAAAAAGGTGATAAAAAAAATAAAATTTATTTGTTTATTCATACTCTGTCGCCGCTGGCATCTCTGAGGTTTCCGCTCCTGGCTGCGGTGCCGCGGTTTCAGCTGCCGTGCTTGATTCTTCTGCATTTGATTCGAGTGCTGGCTTGTCAGTCACTTCCGGGTTTGGGTTTTCCACTGCTTCATTCTAATTTAATTTTAATTTAAAAAAATAAAATTTCTGATCTAAATAATTCTGAAACAGCTTCGAGTTTCGATATACTTTATAATTAATATTTTCTTTTCTTGCCAAAATAATATTTTACTCACTTCGACGACGTCTCCATCTGTTATTATTGTTTCGTTTGCTTTAGTTTTTGAGGAACCCTTTGCCGTAGATTTATGTCCATTTGTGCATGAAAACGTTCCGCAGCACTTCACTACACTTAATCTTCTGCTCTTCTTTGCTCTAGACACTGGAACTTTGCGTCAAGTAATCAAAGAAGCAGTGCAATATTTTAAATTAAAACAAAAACTACCTGCAGGAATGATGCGTCTGTTAGCAGAATGTTTTCGGCCCGTCCTTTGAATCTTTTTTCCCTCTGCTTCGTCAATGCTCAAAATCTGTTGAAAAACATTAACAAAATTTATTAACTAATTAACTGAATTGAAATAATTACCATAAACACTAGAGTAATGGCTATGATTAAAATAAAAATCGATTTATGTCGCATATTTGGGAAAAGTTTGTCATTGACTGCTACGTAACTCTGTGAGGTACTGGCGCGTGTGCGACTCGTGTTCAATATTTCAATTGCTAATTTGAAGGGAATTCCATGATTGATTTTTTTGTGAATTCACGTGATAGACTGATGCAATTCACAAACAAGTACGGAACGCATATAAATAACGAAACTACCTTTGAAAATGATAAAGTGACTCAAATGACTTCGTAAATTTTCATAGCAAGATAGCATTAAGTGTTCCAAACTTTTGAATATTTTATTGTTAAAATTATATAAAATTAAAAAGAATAATCTGCCATTTCATTTAATATTCATCAAGAAAAAAAGGAGCAATACAAATTTTTTTCTCAGAATGTTTACATCAGGCGATCGAGTTTAGCTATAGTAATAATTAATTTTTAACCAAAAGTGTTCCAAAGTAAGATATTAACGTCATATTTTAGCTAAAAAAAAGTCCCAGATAAAAATTCATAAATAAATAAAATTAAATTAATTAAAAAAAGGTCCACGTTTGGTTCAATATTGACAAAATTATCAAAACTCCATTGTCAAAATGATTTTAAAAAATTGAACTATTAAAAAATCAAATACTTTTTCACCAGTTTGGATTTGAATTTAATTAAAATAACCTAACTTTGAACAGTTTTAACAATGAACTATTTATTTCTTAATGATTAAAGGTTATAAAAATTAATTGGCTAAGTAACTCACCATAATTAACTAACTATTCGATTTTTTTTATTGCAAGCCTCCTGAATTCATCCATAGATACTTCCCGCACGACATGCATGCACAGCCAGTTGCCTGAAATCGGCTGACGTGCTGCCCTCGAGCGGCCGACGGGACAACGAGGGCCGTCAAGGTCTCGGCGCGTGCGCCCTGGCGCCAGCTGACGACGAGTCATTTTTTTTCCTTCACTCAAGAGCGGCTTGAAGTTGAAGGCACGCACGGGACAAAAAGCGAGAAGAACGTCAGTCAGTCAGTCCAGCTTGGTCGTCGCGAGTGCTGCATTCCTTCGTGGACAACCCGATTCGCTTCAGTTTGAGTTGAAAAGAGCCGAAGAAGGAGCAACCATGGCGTCAGAGAAGACGGGCTTTTCGGCCGACGAGCGCGTCGAGATGCGCGAACACTTTGACCAGGTGGGTGCGGCCGCCGGCCTCCGTCGAGTGGCCGTTGGCCGGGTGGTGCGTGGGCAGCCGGGTGCGGCCCACGCCCACCTTACGCTGACAGGCCCTTATCTTGTTCCCATGACAAAAGCAAAACTTTCCCCGCAGTTGAGACAAAAAGCAAAACAATATTCAAGAAAAAAACGTCTCAAAATTTGCAAATTTGTTGAATTTTCAAAGCGTTTTATTTGATGATTTATTTAGCCGGAAAATTGAGAATTGATTAGGCGAATTTGGTGATGTTGCGAAAAGCCGGTTGATGATTTTGCAAAAAATGTCATGTCAGAGCGTGGGCGCCTTTTTCGTTATTGCAAGATGATTACAATAATTACACCAGTGCAACCGATAATTTAAATTCAATTTTCGTTGTTCGTGTTGTGTGAAATTTGTGGACATTTTTATTTTAGAGTGGGAAATTCTCAGAAAAGATTATTCTTTTTCCTCGTTAATCCAGAATTATCGATAAGCTATTTTTGTTGAACATGAAAGTAACAAAATGTGAATGTAAATTGAATTTAAAAAAATAATATTGGAACAAATTATTTGGATCTGAGGCTTTTGAATTCAAAGGTAAGAAAAGACAATTAAAAATATTTAAAAAATAAATCAATAAAATTTGCCTTCCCAGGTTCAAAGATATAGGCCAATTATAATTAGGACGATTTTCATTTTTTTTTCTTTCAAATAACAAATAATATAAAAATTATTCTAAATTATTCAAAAAAATTTTGAATGTCATTATTTTTTTCAATTAAAAAATTTAATTATTTCTTTAACGTTCAGGCTTCCATATTATTCAATTCAATATTGACTTCTCAGTCGCAGTTCAAAGGCCATGGTTGTGAGAAATTTTTATTAGGGCACTCGTTTCATACCCATTCGAATAATATTGCGGCCGCTCTTTGTCGTGATTAATTGGCCGCTCGGCCAGATTTATGGCCGTCGAGCGAGTTCTCTTGTTTTCTGCGTCCTCGCGAGTGGAAAATCGTGACCTGAACCCCATTCTTGACGTTCTCACACACACACACGAGAGTCGCCTTAAGAACAAGAGAAAAGGAAAGAAACAATAAAATAAATGTATTTATATCAAGACTTCAGACACAACGAGATCAAAATCAAAAGTACTGGTCTTAATTTTTTAAATAAGTGATATAATTTTTTTGAAAAGGGCAAAAAGTTATAAGTATAAAATTATTAACTGTATTTATTTACATTTTTGATTTACCATAATTTTTTTTTAAAGAATATAATTTGTAATATTTGAAAATAAAAACATTTAAAAAATTAATTTATTTCAAAATAAATGTTTTTTAAATTTAAATTATTAAATAAAATAAAAAATTATGCACTGCAAAATCATTTAAAAAAATTATAATAAACAATATATTTATAAAATTTAAAAAAAATATTTTTCACAATTAGCTCAACATGGTAAAAATTGAGTCATGAAAAGTAAATAATAAATAGAATTAGAGAGTTTCCCAAAATTCTATTGGTTAAAAAAATCTTTGAAAATAAATTCAATTTTTATTACGGTTTTGTCCTTATTTAATATTCTATTAAAAAATTTGAAAAGGAAACTCTGACAAATCCAGTTTTAAATCGAGACACACACAAAATCTCTAATTTTTTTTCTGCTAATTTTGGCCAATTTCTTCAAAATTTGTGCGAAAAAATTAAGTTCAATTATGAATAAATTTTATGGAATTCTTACGAGTTGGGTTAAATAATATCTAATATCTTATTTCCTGCTCTCGTCGCAGTTTGTCTTTAAAATCATGAATAAGAAATTCCTTCATTTTTTATTTTGCTGATTAGACATATAATTATAAATTCATAATTAATATTTATGTTTTTCCCACATTTTTCTATGAAAATGTAATCCAAGCACAAGCATACAATAATATTTATCGTCAAGTGTGCGGCTCCATGTTGGCGAAAGACTCTGCTTTGCGGGGATGTTGGTGTTTGTCTGTGAAACAAATCTGTTTGACCTGGTTCGAGACGAATAGAATTGAAATAAAAAAAGCAGCGATAAAATCACTCTCGGCTCACGACGAGAAATGGATCTCGTATAGAAAATTAAATCTAAATTTTTCATATTTATAAAGGCTCGAAACACAAAACGAGAGAGATGCATCTCTTCTTCAAGTTCCACTTTAAAAAAAATATATATTTTCATTGGCCATTGTGTCGAGAGTTGAGGTGGGGCCATTCATGAATGTCGCTTGAGATATTAAGGATAGAAAATGTAGAATCCTAGTCGGCCACGGGACCCGTCTTTGCCCAAACAACCGGCAGATCAACTTTTTTCTAGGTCTTATATTTGACCGTTACGCAGTGTTTGATACTTTAACGCCCATCTTTGGACAATTTGTGTGTTTTTTAAAGTAATTAGAAAAAAAAACTGGTTGAAAGTTCTAGCAGTAAGCAAAAGCTAAATTTTTTATCAGTGCTTCTCTTTTAAAAAGTAGGGCAAATTAAGCTTTACATTACAATAATATTCTATTGAAAATGTATATAATTTTGCAATATACTGGAAATTTAATTTTAGGTGCAAAAGATCTTTCAAAAGAGAACTTCTAATGTAATACAAATTTTATATTTTGAACTTTAATTTCAAATGATAACTCATTTAATTTTGGCAAATCAAATGAAATTTGTTACCAGTCGATGCTTTGATAAACCTCAATTTTGAGCTTACAAAGTGGGCTGTATAAAAATTAAATTCAAAATAAAATTCAAAATTTGGCGATACCCTGAAACGTTTTTGGAGCGGCCTACTTAATTTAATGTTTTTGGAATACATACAAAGATAGGGGCGCTAATTGAAACGGACAAAATATGAACATGCGTGATGGAATTTTTAATTAATATTATTCCAAAAAAATTCTACAATTTAAAGAAACTGGTTTTGCTTAATTGCTATTTTTATAAGCACTGAACGAATGGTCAGGTATAATTAATTTTGCCTATTTCTGGTCTTCAGGATCTAGAAAAATAATTAATACAAAAACACTTAATCTTCAAATGATAAACAATTAACAGTTTTGATAAATAGAGGGTCACGAATTTACTTAAATTGATGAACGTTTTGTACTTACAAACGTGAGAAAAAGGATGGCTAGAAACTGTAGTTTAAATTAAATAAATATAAAATACCCATTTATCCTTATATTTATATTAAATAACTTTAAATTCACTAAAGTAGATATCACAGCAATAAAAATTCCTTATTTTTCAGTAAATGGATTTTTTTTTTAATTTCAACTTTTTTTTCAATCCTCAGGAAAGTTCTAGATTTTTTAAGTCAAAAGAAAGCTTGTAGTAGTTGTTGACCGGCAGTCGAGCACCTCAGTGTTATTTTCCAACCGCCGATCGGTCCGTTGGTCGGTTCGGTGTGGGTGTTTTTGGCTCTCGGCGGGAGAGGAGAGAAAACGAGAGAATGCAGCAGCAGCTCTCGATCCTTTGAGCCAGTCACTGACCTTTCTTTTTCCATCCGCCTCTCGCGTGATATGGCACCGAGTCTTACCACTGCTAGCTGGACCACTCTTATGTAGTTCGCTTGAATGTCATTATATTTTCTAAAGAAAAAAAAAATAAGATAATTGGCCGCGATCAGCTTGTTATCTTCGCGGAATTCCACGCGGCGTTGTCGTCCGTGTGATAATTGCGGCGTGTATCGAAGCAAAACCGCAGACACGATCGACGTTTTGCTCAATGAATTTGCTCCTGTGCTTTCTGTCCTTTGGTTAGTTGTGGCAACAATCATACAATTATAAGAAAAGAAAATATTTTTTGAAGTTATTTGTTCTATCTTATTGGTTAGTCATTGGAAAAATGGTCCCACCGGTTTTTATATAAAAATAAAAATATTTTATCAATAAAAATTTAAATAATTTTCAAAATGAATTCTATGATTTTTTTTCAAGAAAAAATATGTCAACTCTTTGTATTTCATGAACATCATCAAATAATTTTTCAAAATTCGTTTCAATTGTAAATTATATTTCAATCTGCTAATTATTTTTAAAACAACAAATTGTAGGTTTCATTGTTTCGACTGATTTGATAAATTTATACGGGGAGCTGTTTATCGCCGCTTGAAATTGCTTTTGAGTCAAAGTTCAGTGGATACCAAATTCACCGTGAGCAATAAAGCGCAAACGGGCAGAACAATGATCGCAATAAAGAGATTATCGCGTGGATCGTTTCGGAGAAAGGGAAATTTTTCGAGAAGCGGTGAAAAGAAGCTTGAAATTTATGTTGTGCACTTCTCTCGGCTGAATACATAAATAAATAAAAGCGGGTAAAAAGCGGTGTCGTCGCGACGACGACAACGAATAATGCACTTACTTTTTAAGGTCAGGCAGAGTGAAATTGAAATCGTCTCGTCGAGCCAAGTGCACGCAGAGCAAACATTGAATTATTATTTAGACAGGTCTCCACGTGCAAAACGAAAGTAAATAGAATGGCTCTATAAATATTACAAATTTTAATGCACTACTTTCTATAAAAAATTAGAGAATGGTTGATTATTTCCAATTGCTCAAAATTAAAAAATAGAAAAATACAAACATGGTCTTTGAATGATCTTCAAAGATGATTTATTTTTTTTAGCACTGTTCTCTAAAAAACTGTAGCTCATTTTATTATTTTGATTCCAAATTTTTTTGCTGTAAAGAATGAATTAAATTAATAATTATATCAAACAAGACTTCTAGTATTAAATTACTGAATTTTAAAATTTACATTTTTACATAAAATACTGGATTCTTCTTCAAATTTGGTTCGGAAGATGCAATGCAATCTAAAAAAATATCAGCTTTAATTTATTAATTTTATACTTTGTACAATGTTAAAAAAGTTATTATTTTCTCCAAACCAGAATAATTATCAGTTCAGAGAAAAAACTTATCCAAAGTTAACAAGTATATTTATCACCACAATGTTTTAGTCTTAATTTTGATTAT